AATATACTAATATTGTTTTAGAACAGCATATATAAGCGAACAATATTGCTATTGATTAGATCCTTATCACTCATACTCTAATATATCGTGATTCCTCAACTAAAGGATAGTTCACCTGGTTCTGCCACATCTACGTGTATCTACAAATTCAGCTGCTATTGTGGCGAAAGCTATATTGGGCGCGCTACCAGACAACTGGGCCAATGAGTTAGTGAACACCTCCCTTAGTGATTAGGATAGGGTGTCATCAAAACAATTCGTGACTCTGTTCTATCACAATTGATCGATAACAGTCATATAGTAGACGGAAATGGGTCATTTCAAGTGATATATCGCATTCCTACTAGTTTTCCTTATGATGTTCGATTTCGTATGTTACACATAACAGAAGCCATAGGAATTCGAGCTAACAATCCAAATCTTTTTATTCATAAGAAATTTGCAACACCTTTATCTCTCCCCTGGTTCTAATAAATGATTTTACCCTCCCACTTATTTTCTTCAAAATATACGCTTCATTGTCCAATTATCTGAACACTTCTTATTGCACAACCTTATAGTTTTTATGAATGTTATCTCAGCATCTATATTTTTCAAATCATTGACCTAATTCCCACTATTAAACATGGATACAAGCCATTATTATTCTTATCAAAACTAATACATCTGTTCTCACTATCAATTTGGACCTCTCACTTATGTTTATTTATGTAATCTATTACACTGTTATCATTCACTCACAGACTACCTTGATTGGTTTAATAATTTCATATATGCATATAAATATTACTGTATATTGGAGTAAAGCCTGATGAGGATTTAATCGAAAACAATAATGTTCGCTTATATATGTTTTATTTCATAATAGTTTTTTGCTTGACTGAGTGAATAATATTTAGTAACAATTCAGTATGCGTAAGAACTTTAATGAAGTATTTTCTCACAATTTTGCTTCACTCACTAAGCTGAAAGCTTCTTATTTAGATTCTAGCAAATCAGCATGTCTCTTAAGTGCAGTCATTTTATCTTTGTTTATTAAAACTCAGACTGCTATTTTAAAGGAAATTCAATGTCTGGTTTAGTAAAACGTATGTTCTTACTTTAAATTTGATTATAGTTCATTAACAGATTAGTTTTAAGGTAACGGCTATTAAATGATTACAGTTGTTAGGTAATTTTTGTGCCTGTTTCGCCGGAAGTACAGTATCAGATTATAAAAACAAAGGAAGATAGCGAATTGGTAATGAAACAAATGTAGAAAGTAATTAATTTAGCAAAGGAAAACAGACTCGTGAAGAAATGAGTCAAAAACACATTCTTTTTAATCTAATGGGTTATGTATGTGAGAATTCTAGTAATGTACACATGTACGAAATTTATTATTCTTGATGTTGTACAGATTTGTTCTAGCTGATATCCGCACCTTTTTTACAGCTGAATACTCCAAATGTGAAACTAAATATGCTTTTAATCAAGCATGAACAAGATATCCCCTAATTAATTTATTTCAAATGGTAATCGTTAGCCTAGATTTATGCGTTCGATCTCATATTTAGTGAAGTTTAGTCAATATTATTGGAGGGAAAACCGGAGCCGTTTATTTGTGTAAGATAGATAATATCATTTTAGTTAGCTTGATTTCTGTCCTTGAACTGGTAAATGTCTAGTAGACTACATTTTGATGGATTAATTTGACATGTTCATTTACGTTTAAGCAATTTAGAATATTTACCGATGTAACCTAACTTTCTGTCGGATTTTTTTCAAACTTCTAAAGCTGTGATATACGATGATGTATTCGATCAAGTAAATTATAATCTAACTGATTTGTTCCTAACACTGGAACCAACTCTTGAACACTATGCTGATATTTCTACAAGAAATTCTACTTTACCTACATCCCAAAAATTCAAATTTACTATTGAGAAGTTTTTTATTAACCAATGTAAGTAGATTTGTTTCATACTGATTAATGTGTAAATGGAACTTATCTTGAAAAAATGACTAGAAATACCATTATGTAGTTGAAATGTTCTCCCCAAGTTAGTTCTTGATCTTCTATCCAATTTTTTTCTGATACACAATATCAAAAACTTTTTCCTGTAAAAAAGATAAGCCCTATCCATCACTTTGTTAATAACCAATTGAGAGAACAAGATCCTACAATCCAGGCAACGATTTAGTTTTAGTGAAATATCATGTTACAAATATCTAAGATGAATTATATTTTAGACGTATGAAACAATATTAGTAGTGTTCATTATTGTTAAAATGAAAACACACTAGTTTATCTGTGTAAAGTAAACTACAGTACATGTGAATAAGTAGCAAATATATTTACCGAAAACTATATTTATAAAGTGTAATTGAATATACTAGGTGAACAAAGAATATAAAATATTTGGTTTATAATGAATACTAATTTGACGTTACCTAACTATCAATATGTGACAGGCATAATTGTCTATTTAATAGGCATCCATTCATGGAGTAGTAGTATTTGCCTTATTTTATTATGCTACTTCACTAACTTGATTGGTAGTACTGTTTGACTTTTCGTTATGGGCGAAGTGAACCTAAAATAAGTGACTTACCATCTTGTTAAGTCTTACTACTTTGTCAGTTGTATTAACCTGCATGACATCAGCCAGTTAGACATCCTCTGAACAAGACTACTTTACTACGATTTGAATTTTAACTTTCTTCCACGAAAATCATTTATTTTGACGATTAACTTTGTACAGACACAATTTAATTTCTCTTTGTGAAAACTGAACGTTTCTAAAAACATGGACAGATATGTAACACCCTTGAAAAGCCTACAATACAGTCCTTTTGTGTTAATATGCATTAAAAATACCTTAAGCACCATAACTTTTGTTTATTTGCAAAAAATACAGTAATAAGTGATATTAAATCCTCTACACACCTTGTGAAAGTTGAGTGTTAGTCATCCAATGGTGCCTCGACAGCATTATTCTAATCTTTAGTGTTACTGATTAACAGCGGTCATTCCTGATCCGACTCGTTTTACTATTCATCGTTTGTTACAGTATTGTGGTGATATATTCTCCAAATTAGGATGTTTTAAGAATATAAGTACTTAAATGACTTCTAGCTGTGCACATCAAGCAGTAAATAGTGTGACTTAAGTTGCTAATAACTCAGCGCTCTTTGATCGGTTGACTTGAATTAGCACGTAAAAGTGATGATCAGAGTTGGTTATTATTAGATAATAGACTCATATTCGCAAATCAATGAAGAAGAGGTTTAGCTATAGACAAAGTGACTGAAAATACTTGTCGGTTTGATGCTTTCATATTTATTTTTAGCCTTACGAGGTGTAATTGAATTAACTGTTAACGAAATGCAGGACATTGTTACTGTGTATTTGTTTATTCAAAAAAAGAAAAGAAAATTTCACCTTAATAGCTTGAAAAAAGAACTACAATTTATACTTCACTGTATTCATATATGAATGAGTGCATAGAAGACAAAAGTAAACCTATCTACTTAACAATATAGGTTAAACAGTTTGTTTTCTGCATTGAAAACTTGATCTGAAATCAACTGATGTGTATTATTATTATTATTATTATTATTATTATTATTATTATTATTATTATTATTATTATTATTATTATTAGGGCATCCATAAAATAGGCCAACGAAATGAGGTCTGAATTTTGTAAAAAGCGATAGTAAATGCTTCAACTTAACCATTGAAAATGCTAAAGTCTTAAACTACTAAGAAATTTGCAAGGAAAAAGTCTTTTAAGTCAAAACTTAACTAGATTTAATACAGTTATTCTATATCATTCAAGCAAATACAATCCAATAAAGCTTGTTGTACTAAAAATTATTCACATAGGTGGAAGCTGTTTAAAAGGTGTGATATGAAGTTATGTAAAGTAAAAATTGTTTGTAAGCCTCAGTTAGTAAATTCACATGTTAGTAAGTTCAGTTAGTGAAGAACATGTGCTAAATTTGTACTGAAGCCAGATATAAAATTACCTATGAAGTTCAAATGAACTTCAAGTTTAGTGAAAAAAGTTCCACCATAACGTGTTTCAACTAAACTGTCAAGATCATGCGTCATTTGAATTTAGACCACCATGGAAACCCTGGAAGCACTGGACGGCCGTTTCGTCCTATCGCGGGACTCTTCAGTATTGCGCATCTACGATCTCGCTTCACGAGACTGGAACCCATATTATTATTTCCTGGAAGTTTTATTGGCTCACTTTCTGACTTAGAAATTAAACTTAGAATCACCATATGATATTTTAGCCAGTGAGTTGCACATAAAGTAAATTTTTTCCAGTGAATATATTTCTATGGGTTGCCGGGTACTTTTATAACGTATTCATCCAAAACGAGAAATGTTTCCCAAAATGATTGAAGATTAAGTCAGATTTGCTTACTCTTTGACAAGCATTTTATTCTGTCTTACAGTAATATTGCGAATTGTAATTTGCGAGAAGCTCTTCAAAAAGTATTGGCGGAAGGAAGAGAAAGTCTTTGTTTTTCCCAAATACTGGTTTGTTTGATAGAATAATATAATAAAGTTGTTATTTAAACCAACAATTTTATTACGAAATATAAAATGTGTGTCGAAAAAATTTTCTGAACACATAATACTCTTTTCTTTGCAATAATAAGTTGTTAGTTAAATCATTCAGTTCAGTTACATACAAGTAGAAGAGAATAAAAAGCGATTCATTCATTTTCTTATCTTCTAGTGTGCAGCCTCATAAGCCAGGGTGTACATTTAGTTCTCAGTTTGACAGCATGTTCAACAGCTGAATATTTGGAAAGTGAGGCATATCGTTATCACCTACCTCATGTTGCCATACCAAGACCTGCATGCGAAGAGAAACAGACAACAAAGGTTACAGAAACAACAACTATATGGATTCAAACAGATCCTTTTCGGATGGCCAAGGCTTTTTTGGAGATCAGTGAAATGGAACGAGCTTCACATGCACTTATCTTAGCCGATGGACTTACTGGTATATTAATTTTCACTCACAAGTCATATAAAGCTACTTTATTACTCAATATATATTACTTAAACCATTTTACAAGTACCATTAATGATACTTTGACCTCGTTCTTACTTGAATTGTATCAGGTAACGTGATTTCTAAATTGATTCTCAGGTTTTGAATTCATCTGCCTCAGGGAGAAAAAGTCATGAATACATTGCACGCATATGTAAACACAATTTATTCATCGTTTTCTGATAAAATTAATGAACTAAGTTGATAATTATGAAACGGAGGTTCTAAAGCCTTTAGTTTGTCAGTAGATTTTTTAACAAGCCCATTGAAAAAAGTAACTTTATTTAAATCTTTCTAAAATATATTTTTCGAAATCAATGCTGACAATAAATTAGGCCGTTGCAAATTGTATAAAATACTGCTACTGACAAATCATTATATGGAAAATAAATTTGATGTGTCATGTTGCCGATGTCTTCTAACAACTTCTATGATTATTGGCTAAATATTTCAAAATATAAAAATACCTTAGTGATAATCTTTTGGTGCTTAGTGAGTAATGAATCTAGGTTGGTCTAATGGTACCAAAAATAATTCCGTAATTAAACGTATTATTCGTCAATTAGTGTCTCATTCTTGATGTTATATTAAGAATAAAACCCCTTCAGTAAAAAATAATAAAGAAATAATCAAGGCATTGTACGCCAATGCGAATTTCAATACGTCCTATCGTTTATATAGAGATGCAAAACTTTTAAGATTATAACATGATGTTTTTATGTTTTAGCAATGACATCAATCGACAATATTTACTTATATTTACGAGTAAGTTGCCACAAGTGTGACACATCTAGGGTGGATGTTGTTGGTTGAGAAGGATTTTCTGTTTGGGTAAATCGACGTGCCAGCTCTCAACATTTGTTTACTGAACACTGGAAGTATAGAATATTTCGAAGATTAAAAGCGTCAATGAATTACAGAACTATTGTAATTCTGTATTAACATTTTCTCTCAATTTCATTTAAACATAACTATTTTAACCATCAATAACTATTGTTATTTGAAATGTTAGTTATTATTATTACTTTTATTTCCATCCTTTATGTTTTGTAAGCTAGCAGTGAATTATTTGAAGGCAAGACCACACATGTACTGCTATAAGTCATCTATTCATGATGAAAATAAGTGTCGATGAGGAATTATTTCTCTAAATTCCGACCTTGATGGTCTTTTCTCATCTCGTTGGTAAAATGATCAATAGGTAAACAACCGTATGATGATACCATTTATTACGGGCAATTACTTATTGTTATTAGAAACTATAGAGATTTATCTAAGATAGTTGGATACAAAGTCGAACGACATATTAATGATGGGTAATACATATTTTCTTCACATTAACAACTCTTATTTACAATTAAATCACTAGTTGGATCTTTATCAGTTACTCAGTTAGGTACACTGACGTTTAGTTTAAAATTTAATCAGTATCCTGAAAAGTGTTGAAACGCTGAAAATTCATGCAAATATAATATTCGATTCTCATGACTAATCTCGTTAAGCTAGATTGCTAGGCCGAAAACGTTAAGTGGTAAAAAATTTAGGTGGATTTAAAACCACGGTGGTTTCATTTTAAAATCTGTTTGGATAAATTTAACATCAAAAATGTAAAAGTCATCGGTGTTTCATGTCATATATAAGTTAATATATCATGATTCAATATACCAGTAGTCATGGCTTTTATTTTTTTCTGATTGGATAATCAATTTAAAGAGTTTTACTTCTTGAAGCAACTAAAACTGTATTCATCAAATCCCTACTAAAAGGAAGCTAATACATTTGTATTATTACTAGAGTATACAAACCGTTGTTGCACTGTAGATTGTTTTTGATTATTCCACAAATATTTAAACATAATAAAATTCCCAAAGTATTTAGTTATTTTCAGTCATATAGACTTTTAGTATTTTATCGTCATAAACTGTTTTATGTTCTTGTGTGCTTATGCTCTAGTGCACTCGGTGTATGATTTGTAAATGATTATATTCTTTATAATTCCATTTGAGAAGTAAGAAATCTCTATATGCGTATTGTTAACACAACTATTAACTAACCGAAAATTTTTTAAGTAATGAAATTTCTGTTTATAAATTTTATTCTTCAGCTATTATCCCAGAGATATATGACCTCACATTGCGGAGGAAAATTGAAAATAAGAGATTCTACACTGATTTCTCAACGCAATTATTTTCATCAAACAAATGTATAAATTCATTCAGCTCGTTTAGTGAAATAACATTAGATCAGCTTATTGAAACATTGATGGAAAATAGACCAAAGATTACCATCACAAAATCGTATTTAACGCATATATTCCTGATTCATACAAAACCTTATCATTTAGATTATTTTAGAAAAGTAAGCAAATGCAGATTATAAAGTCATTATTGTACGTTGTATACCAGTAGCTAAAGTTTATAGCAAGAAACTAGAAGCTAATGTTAACAATAAATGTAGTCATTTTTTGATCCAATTAACTTGAACTCACTGCAGTGGATGTAAAATTGTCTTAAAAGAGTAGACAAAACTACTGTCTTACCAAGAATATATATATATATATTAATAGTCATTAGAAAATCTCCTTTGTTTAAAATGTTTTCTTATCTGTCGTAGGGTTCATACTAATACAGACACCAGCAAATGGGTGAGTGGAAAAGGGTATGCATTAATAAAAGTGATCAGTGAAAAAAGGAATAACATTTTTAACGGTGTAAAATATGTTCTCTTTATCGAGATTAGATGGTGGTTGGAGGTAGTCGACAGGAAACCCTAGACCTGGGTTTCATGCCACTTGGCACTCGTCAGCAAGGTGTACCTGTAATCTTGAGGGAACTGGTGCTCTTTGACGGATTAAGTCCCGTGTCACCCAGCTTCACAGTCAGAGACGTTACCACTGAGCTATCCGGGCCGCGATCAACCTCCTGTAGGACTGAGATGTAATCACAATTGATTGATCACTGGGTGGTGATCAATATCATGTGTATCAAGTCCTTATTTAGTGCAGATCGAATGCTATCGACCATGTTGCAATGTGGCCACTAGCCTAGGTCACTCGACACTTCGTGAACTATATATTGAGATTAGATGGTGGTGGTGATGTTCCCATTATCCTCTGTTCCTCTGCCTTACGACTAATCAGAAACGTATTTTCCTAAACTTATGATAAAGAGTCTAATTTCAGCAAGGATCGATAAATACTGTAATTTGTCGAATTTGGTAACGAATTATTATTATTTCCCAAGTCAGGTTGTCTTATACGTCTATTTCGAACAAATAGAATATAATCTATTTAAAGGGATGTTTGTTTGTGTAGAATTCCTTACAGATCGAGAATTTGTCAAACGATTTCGGGTGACCGAAAATGCAGACGTCACAGACTTGGTAACGAATAGATATTTGCAGTGAAAATTTACTGATACATAGAATAAATTAGCGTCTATTTGTTTTGAAATAAAATATTTGAGCAGATTTCTAGATGAAACAGTTGTATATAAAGTCCAGAACAGATAAACATCCCTTTAAATAGATTATATTCTATTTGTTCGAAATAGACGTATAAGACAACCTGACTTGGGAAATAATAATAATTCGTTACCAAATTCGACAAATTACAGTATTTATCGATCCTTGCTGAAATTAGACTCTTTATCATAAGTTTAGGAAAATACGTTTTTGATTGGTCGTAAGGCAGAGGAACAGAGGATAAAAGGAACATATTTTACACCGTTAAAAATGTTATTCCCTTTCTCACTGATTACCTTTATTAATGTGCCCCCTTTTGATGGTCGCCCTTAATATCATAAGCCCTTTTTATCTGTCCCTTTTTACACTCGCACTTTGATAGTTGTCCTTCCGTTCGTTCCTTTTTGAACGGATACCCCACCGATTACGCAAAACTATTCATTGATAAGTATGTATGTTTGGGAGAAAATAGCTTTTTATGTTTTTGGTGACTGTGGGAATAAATAAATAACTGTGTTCTAAGCAATTAATAAATAAGAACTTTCGTCTAAATTTGAACGAATAGTTTCACAATATTTGGGCGTCTAGTTAATGTGAGACATTAAAGAGGATGATTTTGTTGTTTGATTATATTTTCCTTGAGAAAGCTTGGACCAGATTGCCAGGCGAAACGTTGGATTTACTTCAAATTCTTTCGTTGAGATTTTACAAATACATTCTCCCTCTTTAATGTGTTCTAAGCAATTCGTTATTCTATATAATTCAAATAATTGACCGCTGTATTTTAGGAGTGTTCGTCTTTCACAGTTTTACACTTTTCGAAAACGTTTCTACTGGTTATTTTGTATGCCTTTTAATGACCCTAATTTGATACTATGAAGCAGCAGTGAACTACATGTGTGTATAACCTAAAATCTATGTATCCGAATATATCAACCTATCAGTAACTAACAAGTCCATAGAAGACTGAGTAACTGTTAATTCTCGACGATATTCATAGTATTTTTATTTACTTATGAAATTATTTATCGAGATAATAATGCTTGTACTATTGTTCCTAGAAATCTTCTATATCTGAAGTTATATTCCAGGTTACTAGGTGATCATTTCTTGTATTCGGTTGCTGGCAGGAATAAAAAGATAATAACATAAATATAAAAAACGATTCTGCATAGTTTGGCATAAAGTTATCTACTTTATGGATTACTCTTGCAAAATAACTAGTTAGTCATAACTAATTTCGTCTGTCATTTTTAGAGTAGCTTCTGAATGAAAGAAATTATCGTCTCTTAGCTGATATATTTTTCGGGCGTGACTAAAAAGCCATGTGATCGAGGAGCAGCAATCTCTATTGATTGGTTTTAACTTTGAAATACAAAATGTGGCGTGAAATCACTTGAACTGATGGTCATATAAAGCATTCAGTCAAGAAAATCTGTCTATCGCTGAAGGCTAGATGGTCCGACATTTCAAGTCTAGTATCCATTTATCGGTTCCGAATTATGTTACTGGGACACAAATATATCCATTTTCGAATCCTGGATACAATTTAAGTTTAGATCTTGCACATGAATTTTGATGATGTCGTTATGTAGAGGTTTCTATTGGTTGTTTTTATTTGGTTAAAAGCTCGAACCCTTCACTAAGTAAATTCATGTCTATGTATTAAGAAGATCATGCCCTACAAGGCTTGGTAGACTGACCAGTTAAAGAGCATTAGAATTTCTCTGACTACTGTTTTACAATTTTCATAGGATATTGTTAACATTAAGGCCTAGGTCTGGTTTTTTCCCTTTTAATTATACAGGTTTTTGAGAAATCTAACATTACAAAGGACTACTATTGGATTTTTGATGAAATTCCTGATATGCCTATTAGAGATCTATTAAATCTTATTGCTTCATCAAGTGTTACTAAAATGAAAGTGGGATTTTTTCGACAGTTTCCTGTGTTAAATTTTGACGATCTGTCAAAACATGAATTGCAAAAGGGCACTCAGTTATTGATTAAATCTGCATTGCATGGAGAAACGCATAGTTTGCCTGTAAGATTTTGTTTTTTAGTTATTTTTGATGTTAAGGTGAACTAAGTGTTAAATTGTATCAATATATTAACAAAAATCTATTTCATACCATATACAAAAATTATAAGTTGATAGAGAGAATTCGTTGCATAGCACTTAAAGCTGATTTGTATTTTGTGTTTAACAAAAAAAATACATTGGTAATTTTACCTTTCATGCTTATTAAGTTAATTAGCAAAATAAGTTTGGATCCTTTGATTCGATTACAAAACAGGTATCCAGTATTCTTATAAATCCGAACAACATATGTAAGCGAACAATTGTTTCCATTTAGATCGTCATCAGGCTTTACTCTGATATATATGAATATTTATACGAAAATGTTAAACCAATCAAGGGAATTTAGGTCAATAATCACAATGAAATAGAATAAGTCACCACACAGAATAGGTAAAAAAAACATGTTGATAGTAGGAAGACAGGTGTAGATAGTGAAGAACACGAACGGAAAGAGTCGAAAATTGCAAACAAATATTCTGTGTGAAAATAATGGTAACGATAACAAAACTAAAATAAAACGTCGTTTGTTAAGTTATAACCGGCCATGGAAGAAAAAGAGGGTCACGAATTTTTTCTGTACACATAAACTGGGGTTAAATGTACGAATTCCTATAGCTCCAGCTATATGTAGGAGATGGGATCGAACTCCGTTGGGAAATGATGGAGGTATATGATAGACCACTCGAAATGCTTCCGACTTATCTACATTATGACCGCTATCAATAAGATGTGCCAAGATAGAACTGCGTATTGTTTTTATCTAGCCCTTTATAAAACAAGCTGGTCGATGTTCACTCATTCGTTGGTTAAATTACCTGGTAGTACGCCCGATATAACTATCTCCAAAGGAGCAGCTGAATTTGTAAATGCACATTAAGGGGGCCAACTCAGATAACTTATCCTTCGTTTGAGTAGACATCGCTGGTCGATGACGATCTAATTGAAAACAATTATTCGCTTACATGTGTTGTTCTAATTTTCACAATGGGAATCTTAAATATTCTTATAAATACATCAACTATGAGTATATGATTGTAATTAATATCTGCTTGATCATAAAAATTTACCTAAATTTATTTGTATAATAGAAAAGATCCAATTTATTTAAAGTTTATCTGATCAGTGTTTCAATGCACAACTAGGATATAATGATGAAAACTTTTGTCTGTAAGTTGGCTTTATTGGTAGCTATAAGAATTATGTAAATCGACGTATGAATACATTATCCACGCTGAACTTATAAAATGATTCATTTATCATATTTTTACAAAAGCAGCTAATTCGTATTAACCATATCACACCAATTGATTTAAATGGGATTTTGTTTCTCAGATCACATATTTATTATTATTCTTTAGACTATTAGTTCAAGGAATTCCAAATTAAATAGGGATTTGATGGACTTCGTATTGTATCATACGTTAACATTACATGACAAGTCGATTGACCTTTGATTTCTCGAATGGTAATATGCACACAGTCAGAAACGTTACCACTGAGCTATCCGGGCCGCGATCAACCTCCTGTAGGACTGAGATGTAATCACAATTGATTGATCACTGGGTGGTGATCAATATCATGTGTATCAAGTCCTTATTTAGTGCAGATCGAATGCTATCGACCATGTTGCAATGTGGCCACTAGCCTAGGTCACTCGACATTGCGTGAACTATGGTTAGATTAGATGGTGGTTGGAGGTAGTCGACAGGAAACCCTAGACCTGGGTTTCATGCCACTTGGCACTCGTCAGCAAGGTGTACCTGTAATCTTGAGGGAACTGGTGCTCCCTGATGGACCCAATCCCGTGTCAACCAGCTCCACAGTCAAGGACGTTACGACGTGCGTACAGAAAATGAGTTAATGACTTTTATTTGTATTGGGGTGAAGTAGTTTAACTGAGCAGAAATTGTAATTCACTTCTATGATTGAAATTTTATTAAAAATATGAACAAAACAAAATTTGCTGGGAACGTTTGTATTAACTGAAAAATTCCATTATTGAGTGCATTCGCACTGGTTGAAAATAATGATTTCATTAGCTTATTCCGTTCATGTATAATTGATTATGTCCATAACTGGTGATTATTTGGCATTTCTAAATCAGATAATATTTTATCTAATTGACAATTTTATTGCATTTCCAAATTCTTTTTTAAATATTTTCTAATGAAATTGTAGTATCTGTTTTTCAGGAACGTGTAACTATTGCAGCTTATATGATAATGATTAGCAGTCAGATAGCAACCTTTATAAAATCATTTAACAGTTCATACTTGAACCGTAGTGGTATAAGTTGCCATCAAATCAACCCAATTGTGGACGACTTTGGTGGTAGGTTGTTTTATAACTTTCTCAGTCATGTAAGTTTTTTAGTGCTTATTCAAACATTATTTTTGATATAAAATAACTCTGTTGTGAATTATGGCGTGTTTTTTTAATAGAAAAAGCTGTAACTGTTGTACATTAACGGTTATTAGGTCTAATATTGATTAGTAGTTAAGAGGTTTTAGTTGCTTCGGATTGTTTTCAGTGGTAATAAGATCAAATATAATGAAGAATTATTCGATAATCCAAGATATTTTTCTACTTACTAAGTAAACTAACTTCCTATAGGTTATAAATGATGTTTAATTCAAATGCATACACACAAAAATAAGGATAGTGAGTTAATTATTCAGTTATATAAGCAAGCCTCCTGAATAGAACTGAGATTTCGGTTAATTTTTTAGAACGATTCTGTAACATTTGTATACATATCAAGTTTAGCGAAATTTGTTTAAGATTAGTTAACTGGATATCAATCACAGTCAGTTTTACTATCAATTTTACCTGGTTTCTGTTGTCTATTATTAATCCATCTGAGATTATAGTACAGTATAATAGTTTAGGTTAGGTATAGGACACTAGAAAAAAGGGTTAGTATATTAGTTAGGATATAAACTTTTATCGACTGAAGTGGTTAGGAAACATGTATTAAGCAGGTCGAATAAATAATGTTGCCTAATTTGGTTGATTTGGCATAATATTAAGGGTAGGCGAATTAAGATTTGGGATAGTTCTGAGACGCTAATCATTTCTAGTTTCATTAATGTTGCTATGTGCATATTCTGTGGTTAGAACTCATGTTATACTCGTAGTGAGTGGTGTGAGACGTTGAATGGGATTAGGGTAGAGCAGTTAGAAGTGATAGGATTGTATTATTTCTTCGTCTTGTTCTAAACATTGAATAACTCGTGACCTATAACCACTTATTTGTCTATCTCATTTGTGTTTTCGAAGTGTATTTCCAAGCTTGTTTATTTATTTATATTTATTTGAACACATAAATATTGATACAGAGGGGCACCAAATACATATGCACCACACAGTAACAATGAGAATGTGAAGAGATGGAGAATGTAAAGTAAGTATAAGAAAAAGGGGAACAATAACGAACAGAAATTAGGGTATGAAACTGAAATAATGGGACAGACAGTTCAGTTAGCAAAAGTACGACCGGAAAGAATTCTTCCAGTTAAAGAAGTTACGTCCATTAATTTTTTATGAAGAAAGTAAAAGAAAGTCACAGCAGAATCGCCACTGGCTTCTATTTCTGAGCCATGTCTGATATTGTCTCAAGCCAATGTGTTGTACCATCTCTAGGACCACAACCAGAGAGTCGTGAAGGACTAACACAAGCCAGTCATTTACAGCTTTCTTTCATAATACGACATCATGTCATACACTAACCAACTCTACGCTTTTTCCAACCGGTCCCATCATGAGCAAATAATACACGAGGTAAAATTCTCTGGGACGACATTCGTATCACTTGTCCGAGCCACCGAAGGCGAAGTTTCAAGATAGTAACACTAGCTGAATTATCGTCGCTGTGTCCGAACACACGATGCGAGCCCCTGCATTACTAACATGGTGTTGCCACTGGATGTCAGCAATCCTTCGGAGACAACGATGATCAAACACAGAGTCGCCTAATATCCTCAAATCAAATAGGGAAGGTTTCACAAGCACAGATAAAACTGATCTAACCGAAGCTCTGCAGATCCAACCATTTTCAGCAAGACTATCATCACGAAGGCGCCAAAGATGGCCCACATTGGCATAAGCCGCTCTGGCTTTCATTATTCGTGAATTGGTCTCACTGCTCATGTCACTACCAGCACTTATGCAGCTACCTAGATACACGAACTTCTCGACTACTTCTATCTGTTCACCATACAGGGTGAGTGCCAACTGATTAAGTGAGGATTGCATGCTTTGGGTGTCATCGCACAGTAAGGCAATATCACCTGCATACTCAAGATCGAGAAGGCTTTCTCCGGGCAACAGATCCACATCGCTATTACTTACATCCATCAGAGCTGTTTCCAGAATGTCATCGACGGCAAAGTTGGAGAGGAATGGTGCGATTGGGCAACCCTGGCTAACCCCACTGCTCGAATGGAACAATGGAGAGAGATGGTTGTATGCCCTCACTCTGCCTGAGGTGTTTGTATGTAATGCTTTCAGGATGTTAATAAACTTCTCAGACACACCCTTCTTCAATAGACAATCCCAGAGAACAGTCCTGTCCAACGAATCGAAGGCAGTCCTGATGTCAAGAAACACTACGATTGTTGGCCTCTGATAAGTATGGCGGTGTTCTAACATTTGGCGGAGGGTAAAGATATGATCAATACATCCTCGACCGGAACGAAACCCAGCCTGCTCCTCACCAGTCAATCATTCTCGGGTTTTGAACAACCTGCGAAGTATGACGGAAGCCAATAGCTTGGACGCAATCGGAAGTCGACTTATCACCCGATAGTTGTTACAGGAACGACGTGAAACTTTTTCAACTATCGAGCTTTTTCTAGCCAGAAACAGGTTGTGGTTTGTGCTCAGTTGCAGTAGACGGTCACCGTTACTTGGCCTGCCACTAATAGATTTTTATCTGCCACCCAAGCCACTTTCCTCTGTGCCTAGACGCCCAACCTGAAAATTCAAGTCTCTAGCTTGTAGTACAATACCTGGCGAACGCACGTTCTATGGAAGTACGATTCACTGATGGTAGAACTCATCCTTGATTACATCCGGGCTTCAACTTGTCAAAGCGTGGGCGGAGATGACGAAAAGACATCGCTTCTTACACCGGTTCTTTCTTACTTTGGTGGATTTTTCTAATCTAACAGCACATAACCGACTGTCATTGAGGATCCAATCGATCAGTAATGCCTCAGCTTTAGCGCTTAGTGCGACACCGAGGCAAGCAAAACGAGATGAAGATGTCACAGGGTCCCCAGATATACTCATGTGAAACAAACGTTTCGAGGTGAAATGTGGAGAGCAAGTTCGTGGTACTTTTCCAGAGTTTTGAATACGGGTCTTGAATAGACAACAGGTATCGATGTTGAGACTTTCTAAAGACATACCCAACCCTGTCTGTTGTCTGATCTGCACTAGTATGCAAACGTTGAAGGAGGCCAGTTTGAATGGTATAAGTGGTTTCAGAAGGATTGGTTCAGTATTCGTAGTCGGTGGTAGCATTCAACTTTCGACCAGTCAGTGACTTGAGATAGTTTAGATAGGACAGGGTTTCCACCATAGGCGATCTGCTGTATGAGTTGGAAAATAAGAATTCACAAATTGAGAATAGAAGAGAGCAGATAAGTGACGTTGTAGATAGGAAAAATAAAAATCAGTGTTATCCAATGAATGCGAATTGTCTGATTTTTAATTGGAGCAAGAATAGTATTTCCTGTAGTAATTGTCATTTTATATGATTTGTATGTGAGCTGTGATACTATCCGGGTGCCCAAACCGGGGCAGGTGGTTTGCTTAGGGGGTTACACATTGAGTCTTCGACCTAAAGGTCTAATCCACAAAGCAGTGGAGCAATGCTAGGAGATGCAGTCCCATGGTATCCGGTGACCAAAAATAGATTCATTCGCTTTTTGCTTCCTCAGGATCCTGGAACCCATGTTCACCATTCGTTTGGAATCAGGGGTTTCCAACTCCCCTAGGTAGATCTTCTGTATCCACCAACCCGGTTAAACCACTGAACATTCGCTTTTTGTCCTCTCAATTTTGTAGACGTCACCCTCTCTTCGAGAAGGTAGGATAGGACTTCCTTGACAGTGGCTGTATGCACGTGGCCATTAGAAAGCATTTCGAAAGGGAGAGCGGACTTTCCCCAACCTCGACCGTACCAGGGCATTTGGGGGCTTATATTTCCCTCTTCTGTCCAGATCACTCTGAACCTTGTGTTTCCCATCATGTTAATTCTCTCTCATTGTACGGGTCTAATGTATGGCAACTTGGAATAATAAATATTTGTGTCAAGTTTATAGTTGAAGTTAAATAACTGGTTAAGACAAATGATGAAGAAACGCATCTCCATTATATTTAATACCGAACAATGTAGATTCTTCGGTAAATCGTCAGGAAGTGAGGCGCAATTTCATCCTTTTTATTTCTTCAAAAAATGTCTTGCATTAATTGTTTAATAAGCTATATGGTGGAATGAAGTTGTAAAGTGCTAGTAATTGAATTCTGCCTCAATGAGTGAATGATATCTTTTTCATCTGGAGACCTCAGAGTTTCAGGTTTGGTCTCTTGTGTGGTTATAGGTTCTGTAGAGCAACAAACCTGTTTGAAAAAGTTGCTCATTGCTTCCTAGTTTTCAATAGTTGGTCAGTGTGTAAAAAAGAACTCAATTAGGGTTTGAAAAACCTCCAGGAATTCCAATACAAATAATGAAATTTTAAATGAGAGTGTTCATTGGAATGAATTATGTGTCACTTCTCACTACTTATGAGTTGGTTATCTCAAAAATTAGTTTCCAATAAGCATAAACTCTTCTGATAAGTCATAAAATAATACTGAAGAACTTTTATCTAAACTGCAATAATGAAATACCTAGTCGTATGAAATATTCTCTAACTAGTGCTAGAGAATAATCCTCTGCTTAATAATGACCATCTCTTTCGAATTAATTATCCCGTAACTCTGGTCAACTGTTCCTACACGCCATAATTTATTGTTTACTGAAATAAATAGTTCATTTTGTTCATTATTTATTCTGTCCTTTTTAAAAAAAAGAGTATAACTTGCTTCTGAACTTAGTTTAGATCTATCACCTTCGAGTGTTAGATTTATTATTTATTACTATAAATGATCGTTTTTTACCTCGTTAATTCAAAATGATTGCAACATAGTCCCATATACTAAATGTAGTAATATGAAATCAAGTAAAATTTATAGATTTATATTGGTTATTATCTTCAGAATGGAGGAACTGGTATTTCATTTGCATAATCTCAGTGTTCACTTACTGTTTTGTTCAAATGCTAGAGGTCTGGGACTAATGTCTGGAAATCTTTATGGTTTTACTCACTCGAAACGTTTGATGATGCAATGAAAAATTTTATATCCACTGCTCATTACACTCCTGATGACAATATGAAACTTACAAGTAAAGGAATGAAAATTAAGCAAAGAAGCTTGGAAAGTGGTCTATTTTCAACTGTCTTTCAGTCATTTAATAACAAAATTCTTCGAATATCAACAATTCTCGTAAGTACTTGATTAACTTAAGGCTTTTGGTTTAAAAATGTTTGATTGATGAAAACTTTGAGATAAAACATTTGTTGAATGTTCAGCGAAAGCATTGATCCCTACAGCCTTAGGGTTGCTACTAATCTTAGTTTGATATGATGGTATACATCTGCGGTCAAGTTCTTTGTAACATTCTTACTGTCATTATTTGAGTTCCCGTGAATAAGCAGACAGTTTCTGACCGAATATAGAAATTACCGCACCATAAACCCTAACAACGTTACATTTAATAAAACGACTGTTTTACTTTATTTTAACTCCCTTCTTAAGGATTGTGGGATACAAGCAATGCGTGAAGGTCAAATTTAGTTCAGGATTTTTGCCAACTCTACGATAGTTCGTGGAGAGTCAATACCAACACTATCTTAATAATACCGAGGTTTGGAAATGTTTGGTTGCGCTCATTGATGATAATTCAGTCAGTGTCACCATCTTAAAATACTAGATTCTGTAGCTTAAACATATATCTTTTCAGTGATTTCTACACTGCTGCATTTCCAGAATCTGAAATTGGCTGGAAAAAGCATGGAGGTGGTTAGCTTATTACATATCACAGGTTCCTGAATGAAGACTGTATAGGACTGGAATCTGTTGGTACATCTCAATTTCCTGGTTGGGATCCGAGAGATGGTGCAATTCACTGACATGAAGCGTTATTAAATGTGGCTTATAACAGGGACCAGCCACAGTCCTACCGTAGGTTTTTAATCCTACTTATAAAAAAACAAGAGTAAGTTACGTAACTGAATACATTCTTTCTGGTTGCGTTTTCAACTGAACTACCTCTCTCACTATAAGTTATTTTTGTTCACTCATTTTTATTCACTATTTATTTTAATTATACAATTTCCCCTCTATATTTTTTCACAATCTCATTTTCTTATGTTTGTGGAGCATGTTTATTTTGGAGTTCTATTATGCCACTATATATGCGTTTTAAGTAAAATAAATTAAAAAAAACTAAAGCTAATGAATAAATGCCTTTTAGTTGATTTTATACACTGATCGCTTCAGTCTTGAACGTTTATTTGTGTAAGTTGTTTTATTGGTCAGTTTCTAATTTGAGGGGAAATATTAGCTGTTTATTTCCTAGTTTCATAATGTAGTCTCCAAGTTCTATAAAGATGTTTTTCAAACTTAGCTATTTGCTAGCTCATTTCCAGATTTGACATTTAACACTCTCAGAGGATCACCATACTTACTTTCTTACGCCTGTTACCCCTCGTCGAGGAGCATAGGCCGCCCACCAGCATACTCCATCCAACCCTGTCCTGGACAATCCTTTCCAGATATTTCCAGTTGTTATTCATTCTTTTCATATCTGATTCTATTTCCCGATATAATGTTTTCTATGGTCTTCCTCTTTTCCACTTCTCTTCAGGATTTCAAGTTGGGGCTTGCCTCATGAAGCAGTTTGGTGATTTCCGTAATGTATGTCCTATCCATTTCTATCGTCTTTTCTTAATTTCCTCCTTAGCTGGAAGTTGGTTTGTTCTCTCCCACAGAAGGCTGTTGCTGATGGTATCCGGTCAATGGATGTTGAGTATCTTGCGTTGACAATTATTTATAAATACTTGTACCTTCTTGATGATGGTTGTGGTAGTTTTCCAAGTTTTAGCTCCGTACAGTAGAACTGTCTTGACATTCGTATTGAAGATTGTGACTTTCATATTGGCTGACAGATGTTTTGAGTTCCATATGTTCTTCAATTGTAGGAGGGTCACCATAATACAAATTTATTTAATATGAAAAGAAACTTTTTATTAGGTGTATGAACTACTCAGACTCACAATTCCTTACTTCTTTGCCATATAAAAAATAGCTATCCAAAATGTTTCGATTCCTTTTGTCCCTAGAAAATTTCGTTTGTTTCTGATATACTTTTTCAGTAACTTTGATGTAGATGCAAATAGGTAGATAGTATTGTTGCTAGTTTGAAATAGGCAGACGCTGAAAGAAAAGTCGTGCTTTTAGATTCTGTCAGACAGTCATTTCTAATAGAAATTCTAGGATTTTCTGTACATCTATAGAAATTCTGCTGTGTATGTAAATCGACTAAACAGTGGTTGTTATTACCTGGTTATTTTGTTCAACAGGATCCTCCATTTGTTGTGACTGGTCAAGTAATTGAAAACGGAGAAATAATCAACGCTTCAGGATTTGCGATTGATATACTAAATGAATTGGCTATGCATTTCAATTTTAGGTAAAATATTCCCTTATTAATGTATACCGTTACATATGATGTCACAGTTGACAAAATTTTCGAAATAATTAATTATAACTTAGATTGTTTCCGATTTTCAAGCAGTTAATTTTCCTCGTTTTCGCACGTGTAATGAATCCATTCTGCATAGAGGTGGTGTTGAACCATTGTATGAGTTGTTGACCTCAAAGTACAAAAAGTAAGGTGAAGTATTCATAAGTAAGCCGACTTAATGGTCGTTATTAAATTATAGTCAAATTTTTGGGGCAGAGTTGAAGGTATGCTGATCTTCAGTGATCTTCATTGACTTGGTTTATAGCGATATCCATCTATTGGAAGTGTTTACTGATTACATTCATTTCTTAATCCTTACAGAAATAAGTTATCTACGTACACAGTTTCGTTTAAAATCAGTGAAAGTTTCCAAATTGAGCTAATTTTTACTGTTCTATCATAAACAATCAGAGGGAATTCACATTCAGCCGACTGATATTTTAAAAAGTGATGCGGACTTTCAAATGAATTTAAGATCCAGCTTAAATGTAAATAAATAAATACAGTTATTTTAGCAAAGATAAAGGCTTAAAGAACATATCTACCACTATATTGACCACATTTATGGTTCAAAGCACTGTCAAACAGTTTTTAGATTCAGAATTGGTAGCAGTTAAAAACCTTCAGCTTAGACATGAATATTCTCCACCTAACCATGAATGATTTTTTAATAATTAGCAACATTATTTTCCTTGATTCTCCCATAAATTTAACTTTAATGAATTCAGATTTATTGAAATATTCCCATTTATTATGATTAGAGATATATTAGATTCAAATAGCATATTCTTTAGAATGTAGATTGGAAAAGAGATTTCATGTGTGGAATTTCAAGTCTGAAGTCAACGAACTTTTGAACATTGAATAGACGTTACTGAATATTAGACTTTTTAACGATACCGATTGATATAATTCCAATGTATTTTTCTAGCATAAATTCTTATTTAGTGTATATTTTTCCTTCTAGAAACTGGAAAACGAATAGCTTGAATTTAAAGTGTTAGTTTCTGAAAGCAATTTAGCTAATATTTGCATTTTTCGATGAAACAGACAACTATAAACCATTAAACTACAAATATAAATCACTGGTTCTTTTATTATTAACCTTTTCAATGTCAATAGATATCGCCTTTTCTTACCACAGAACGGTACGTATGGCTCACTGGATGAAAAAGGAGATTGGGATGGCATGATGGGTGAATTGGTAAATGGAGTAAGTAAAGTATAAAAACGTCCAGTTAAACTCTTATTTAATGAAAAGAGCAAGAACAAAGATTCTAGCAGAATAGTACGAATTCATTTTATTTCGTAGGTTCTCGTCAGCTGCTTACAACCCGTGATATTTAAAAATCATAATTACATAATGGGTTTAAATTGCTTACTGAATATTGTAAATATATACCTAATGTGAAAGAATATTCTACAAGATTAATTGTGGCAACAGTTCAAAAGTGGGTTAGAAACAATCGATTACATAATGAACACGTCAAGATTTTAGAATTTCTCAAAGGGACAGAAAATAAAATCGTGGAGAAAGCTTGTTACAAGTATTGGTACCAATAGTTGTTTTTTATTCAAACTATAATCATTTTTAATTTTTGTCAAACTAATAGCTACCGAGTATATACATAACGTCTGGACTCATCTTTCATAATGCTTACTATAACCCCGGGTAAGGATCCCAGTATCGTAAGAAACTATATGTAGTTTAGCTTCCAAATCAGTGAATCGTTTTAGTGATGGTTCTAATTTTATTGTTCTTTGTACAATGTGTATAATAATTCTCAGAACCTTCCAATTTACTTTTAAAATAAATCTCAGTGATCTTTGTCGTTACTTGGAGGATAGCTGTACATGAGGAGATAAGCAACTGCTTATTAGGAGGAGTATAATTTTTATATTAAGAATAACAGTTATTTGTATTAGGATAAAAACAACATTCTGATTGTCAATCATAAAACTCCCAACAACTTGTCGTAAAGAAATTATGTGACGGACTAGTGAATTTTTTCCACATGATGACCGATTTCGTATGGTCCTTGTTCTGTATATCGTTTCCCGACATGTCATAACATATCATTATTGTAGATGGGTACATATCAGTATAACTATGTCGTTAAATGAACTGGTTAAAAGTGTTATTTGTTTTAGTGAAAATATTTACACTGAATAACTGAAACACCAATCATGATCAATATATTAGTAGTATGTATTTATTTGAAAATGATATATGGTAATGTACTGCTGTAAGCTGGTAGAGTTTAGTCGATAGTTAGTTCGTTTGAGAAGTGTAGATGAACTCTGGATGAACCGTAAGTTTTTCTTAGAAATGAAGCATCTAATTTAGGTTTTATTAATTTATACAATGTTTGGAATATATAGAATTTTAGAAACTATCATTTCCTCTAAATCTTCGAACATATAAATATAATGTAAATGAATACGTTGACTATTTACACATGTTTCACTAAAATTATAATTTCAACATTCTCAATTACTTAGTATTTAAACATCTTACTTCTAGATCTAAATTTTATTGTAATGTTTGTTAGTTCAAAGAATCGTGAGCAATTTAGAAAGATACTAGACATCAAATACTATTTAGTTCAAAAGACTACTTGTTGTCTGTATCCTTATACCCAACTATTCATAGATGAGTATATCAGATTTTTATCAGACAATTTTATGTTTTCAAATTGTTACCAATGCGTGTTATCAATAGTTCCGGCAACTTTGAGTTATGCATTACAATTATCTGTAAAGATTGAAAATTTTAACCAGTGTCAAATCATCATTTTTCAATTAAGAAGTGTCCTCATATCTGTGAAAACTTATCGGTGTTATTTCTGTCATGAGAGATTGTGTTAATGGTTATTTAAACTGAAGCAGGTTACTTGACTAACAGTTCAATGAATTTATGGGGTTGAGGCTTCTAATACTTTCACAATTTAAGTATAGCAGCATATCATCATATTTCATAATGGTTTAATGTATATCATTTTCCGTACTAACTAAAGATGAATATTTTACTACCCAGTTTTTCTTATTTACTGATTATACATATTAGCGAGTTGATATGATAGCTGCTGGTTTGACAATCAATCCAAGAAGATCGAATTATGTGGAATTTATTGGTCCGATTGTTGAAGATACAGTTGGAATACTTGTAAAACCATCAACAGCAAATTATCTTTTCTTTCAAATGTTTCATCTATTTCAAATTAATGTTTGGATAGCAATTACTAGTTCAGTGGTTATTCTTGGAACAACAGTTTGGTTATTCAATAGGTATAGTCCATTCAGTGGATGGAATTTACAACTTCCAGAAGCTAACTCAAATGAGGTATCTCTTTCCTACAATATATGGATTTCACTACGTTGTATGCTTCTACAAGGTAAGCTTTAAAACTCAATTAATTCTAAAATGTCATATATTACGTTTTCGAGCCATTAATGATTTACCAGCGTTTTACACGTTTAATTATTGTCTAGAATCAGAATTTTTTGGATAAACATTTGAAATAATTTTTGTAAAAGCGTTTCATTGTCTATGTTGAAATCTAGGACGGAGTTCATTGCCAATAAACAACTTCATTGAAAGAAACTGATTTATTTGACAGGTCATTAGTTTGAAGCATGTTTAAATAATAATAAAAAGTAGAAGCATTAAGAATACTCACTGATATCTGTGTTTATTGGGTGCATTAACAAAAGGTTAGTAATTTGGGTTATTAAAATAGTCACTTACTTTCTACAACGTGTGACCAACACAATGTTAATGTGTCTTGTAATAACCAATCTACTTTGTTGTTTCTTTTTCAAATGATGCACCTTCTGTTCATAGTTTAAAACTCAGATTTATTCCCATCATTGACGAAGATAATGGAACGACCACTTTAGGGATCCTCCTTGTCCTATTTATAAATAAGGCTTCATATAATTGTGCTGTTTACTCAACTCAGTGATTTTTTTATTTGAGCCATATTGTAGGATCATCATCTAGGTTTTTTTATTTTAACCCGTAATCCTAGTATCAATTAATATTTCTAATTTTCTACAAAATGGTTTATTGGTTCTTTTAATCTATTTGTGCAATGTTTTGTTCGTCCTGATGTCAAGAAAACAGTCACCAAATAATATCATAATATGGAAATGCAATCCGAGATTCATTATTTTGTTTTGAAATATGTTCTGTTCATAAACCCTGATTTCTGTTGATCACCCTGTTGACGAAAAATCACTACTCAGCGCTTCAGATGATAGAATATTTGGATATCCTCATGTAGTTGTCTTTATACGATAATGTGTAAACTAGTTTTGTGCTTTATAAATCATTACTTTCGAAGTATGAGACCATTACGTAAATTTGACTAATTCTATCTAGTGTAGTTCATTGAAAAAACCTGTTGATGTGGGAAAGATAGGATTAAGTTCCTAATATTAAAATGGATGCTGGACCTGCGACAATAACACATTCTGTAACGACTCGGATGGTCCTACAATAACAAATTAATGTTTATGCATATATGTGTATATCGATTACTAGTATATCTGTGGTGTATGCTATTTATGCTGACAGAAATATAAGTAGTATGTAGCAGCAATTGAGAATGGAATGTCTGCTAGCAGAAGACTGAATTGAAGAGAAAAGGGAAATAGGGAGCAATTGTAGTAACTACATGAGTGGGAGAACCATGAAGCATGTGAAAGACAACTGAAAGAAGGTGTTCAAATAATGTATTGAATGTTTGGTTTTTATATGTTACAATCGCACTCTGTAATTTTGCATTAAAGAGTAAATTAGTTCTCCCTAACTGAGTCTCGTTCACTACTTTTCTGTTTGTTTTCTTCTAGGACAAGAAGGCAGATTATTCTGTTTTTCGTCACGCACTTTGTGCTTAATGTATTGGTTTATGATTTTAGTTGTACACGCTATATGGCAGGCTGATTTAACAGCATTTCTAACAAAAAACAATCTTGAGCTTCCAATTAGTTCGTTAAAGGACTTGGCACACAATGATAAGATTGTAGTATTAACTATGAAAGGAACTAGTACTTACAATATGTTTCAGGTAAGAAAGAATATAACCAAATTATTTATTACAATTGCATATTTAATTGAGATATCAGCTTTGACAACTGACTAGTTTCCTTTCATAAAACAAATCATGTAATTAAAATTCACTAATTCCTTGATATAACCTATTTATTAGAAGTCTCATTCCTACTGGAAATAATTACATCCTCATTAATTGAGCACAAAATTCAAATTTAGTAAGATTAGTGTTGAAACTGAGCATTTTTCATCGAGTCCAATACTAAATTATTCCTTTTTAAATGGCATTATATTCGTTTTTAATTATCATCCTTATGAGGATAGCAAACTGTTATTTTCTTTTGTAAATATTATGATCAACTCATTTTCAGTTGGATGACCGCCATTTACGTGCTTTCACTTCGTATCATAGTCTGACTCTTGGCGGTGAGAATAAATGTCAGCAAAAATTTTCTCACTGAATATCGTGTACAGCTTTATGATATTTAAATAAGGTATAAAGTTGCTGGAAATAGTTTTCGGCTAAACTAAAGCAGTATACCAATATGTTATCATGTAACTGCATCTATGGACTACAGTTTTTTTTACAGAGGACTCAAATGTCGAGTACCATGTAAATAATAGTTAAAATTCATCGTCTGTTACAAAGAATACCATGGTCTATATTTACGTTGTCAGTACAATATTTCAGATTTTTAAGCTTATAATAATAAAATATGTATTCTTGTCTGAATATTTACCACAATGTCATACTGGTTACCTTTGTACTTTACTTGTTTACCCTTAGTTGACAAATTTATCAGTAACTTTTCACTAACCATTTACTGACAACGGCATCATAATTATTAAACGTACTGCGGAAAAGATTTTTAACTAATTTAGAATGGACATAAATGGTTGAAATGTATCATAAGGTCTAAGTTTGTAAATAAACTACGCATTTTTAAACAGAAATTTACGGATGATGAGCAGATTTACAACAATTTTTAAATGTGAGCTCTTTGAAGATAAAACTATCTTCCTAATTCAATTAATGTGGACATACTACTAGTTAAAATGGTTCAAAAATATCTTACTAAAATTTTCAACATCTCTACAGGCAACCACATGAATTGAGAAAATTGATGTTTATATTCAGCGTTGTTAGGTGTATTTTTTACAGATAATATTCATCTACTCCTTTGTAATTATTTTCAATAGGTCTCAGTAAATAATACATTTTATGAATCCATATATAGAAAGCTGGTTGCAAATCCTGTTAGTGTATATAGTACAGACGAAGCAGTGAAGCTGGTGATAAAGTTTAATAATTATGTCTATATAACTGAAAGATTATTTCTTATGAGTGTACTGCAATCAGAGGAATGTTCAAATCTGGAAGTGATAGAAGAGCCTGGGATTGTAGCTGCTCTTGGATTCGCTGTGCAACTTGGAAAAGAGTATGCAAAACCTATGTCATCTTAGTACGTTTAATAAATATAGATCAGTTAATTATATATGAATAGTGTACTTGATTTTCATTGTTACGATATGCCAGATATTCAATAATGTCTTGTGATAAATATATGAATTTTTAAACCTCTGGTTAGTGAAATTGTTGATTTTTAGTATTTCTTAATTAATAAGTGATTACTTCTAATAAGAAAAGAGTTTGCTCAGCTTGCTACCAGTGGAGTGAGCCGTTTAATAAGCAGAAAAAACTTAGTGTTTTGAAAAAAAAACTCTGTAGATGTTAGAGATTTCTATTTCAGAACTATGTATTCCTAACATAAAAGATTTAGCCATTACCAATTTTATTTAAATCTATCAGATCAGATCTACTGTTTCTTTTGTAACGAAACAAAGTGAATGTGTATCATTTGAAAATACAAATTTAATCACATACGTTTAGTAAAATTGACTGAAGAAACAGTAACTCCAGAATCTAATCCCTAAAATGTCGATAATTTCTGTCTTATCACATCAGTAATTGATTGTTATATCAGGAATTGATTGTACATTATTTATTAATGAAAAATATGATTTTGCCAATATTTATTTTGTCAAGTATGCTAACTTTGAGAGAGCGAGGCATAATCAACAAATTCATGGTAAAATGGAATATGACTTCTGATGTTGATCCTATGGATGTGCAATACCAAGCTCTGACAATATGGAATGTCGCCGGGGCATTCATCGTCACCTCAGTTTTTACTGGGATAAGTCTGCTTATTCTACTCGTTGAATGTATATGGTATAGATGGAGAAATAGAAAAAATATGGACACTAACAATAACAATAATAATAATGGTAGATAATGCTGAATTCACTAATACAGTTGACGAAAAAAGAATAATTCTTGGTATATTGCTTCATATTCTTTTTTTTAATGATTTTATGCAATTTACATTGAGAAAACCAATAAATTTTACAAATCTGTCTTATTACATGGTTTAGCTTCGGCTGTAGACACGCTTTTAATGTAGTACACGATTATCGTAAATGGAGTTTCTCTGCTTATCGCTAATTTAATGTCAGGTAAACACTGAATAACAAAGCATCGGTTGGGCACAAATATATCTTGTCTTTCATTCATTCACTGGGAAATACATGTTTCAACACGATGATTTAGAATAATTCAAGTTCATAAAACCAGAAACTTTAGAAATTCGAATTACCATTTCATTTGAAAATTACATATAATTCATTTGTAATTCAATAAAAAGTTATGAACAAGTGGAAAATAAATCAAAACTATAATAGAATAAAGCTCAGATTAACCAAGTAGTAAGAAGTTCAGAACAACGAATAATTTAATTAATAAAAGATATTAATTTAGTTACAAAGAAGAATAAGAAAATTCTGGCCATATAAAGAGATCTGTGACAAAGGCTTGTGTGAAACAAACTTTTATTTATATTACTCAAGGGGTTTATCCGGTTAGTGTTCTGACTACTCCACCGTTACCAATCTTACTTCTCTCCAAACATTAATTGATTTTTATATTGATCGTTTTAATCTTCCCTTTGATGTTAAGGACTGCAATTGATCAGTCTCTTATTGGTATATATGCATCCTGTACGGATAGCCTCAAAATTACTTTAAGTCACTAGTATTATAAGCACGATGACGTTTGCAACGAACAGCACCGGGCTCGAGTCCCGTAGTGAGCGTCAACCGTTGGGTGCAGGTCCATCCAACTGATAAGTCCCAGATGGAACCAAACGCGCTCCCTGGATTCCATTGCTAGTCACCATCCATCTTTCCAAACATACAGTTTCAGAAATACGTGTAGAAATAAAACTGAAACATTTCCCTTAGTATTTTCCAGTACACTTGTTTCAGTGAGTTTATTTTCACTAGGTACTGTAACTTAAGACTGTTTATTAACCTGCAAATTTTATTTTTATTGCCCTATTCAAAATTCTAGAGAAAATGTAATATAATCGATAAATTTTAGGCAGAAGAACATATACTCCAAGATAAACAAATCTAATAGATAAGGCAATGACAAAGGAATGAAGAAACATATAATAATAATTGAGTGGTTCGATGTCACTTTATATTTCTTTCACCGGTAAAGAGATTTCTATCACGTATTAGTTTGCTTCAAATAGATGATCTTACCTATAGTAAACACCGGTTGCCAATCATTGGGATTGGTTCAATTCAGATAATATCTTCCTTTCTCAACAAGTATTGCTTTCCCTTGTATTACCACTAATACAGCCTCGAACTGTTGCTTCGTGAACTATATTGAGTCTTAATATTCTTTCCCTATGAGAATTATTTAGGAGCAATTTAGAAAAAAGACTTAAATACCTAATTGTAATGAAAATAAAAAAAAATGTATTAAGTAGTTCTATATGACCACAAGGATGTGAGTATCAAAATTAACATACAATATTAGCGTTTGGTATCATGTCCAATTTTGTATCGCTGACAAAAATGGATATGACTCTGAGAATAAGTTTCCTCAGTCGATTAGTTTGAGACTGAAAATAGTTCAAAGGTTAGTTGAATGAAAGCGTCAGTAGACAACCAATGAATGAATTAACCAGAGACACTTTTACTTATTTTTTGATGCTATCCCACCATCACGCAGTTACTTTCTGATAATGAACAAAAACAAATTATATCAGGTGCTTTGATAATTAAACCTCATTAGTTAAAATATACTGAGCATCACAAGGACAAGGGTTATGCTTATTCATCTCCAAACATTTGACAACAAAAACTAAGCTTTTGAATAATTAATGAAATCTGTTAGGGTTGCTAATCTGTTCGCGTATATGCCAAATCATAATTAATCTAAACACATACAGAAAAACATGGGAGTTGATACTGAATATACAGAGAGTTTCATTGTACTTAGGGCTTTCCATATAACCGTAAATATGGTCATTTTGTAGAAGCAGCTAAAATCATTGTCAGAATGCCATTTCTGCCTAGTTATAAAACGAAAAACGCGCTCCAGTTTCATTGCGAATATATAGTTGAATACTCCCAGTAGCCAGATATAATTCTTGGTCTAACTTTGAGACTAAATAACTATGGACAGTAAGAACCAATCAACGTCGAGGTGTACGGAACATGCTGTGAAACGCATATAGAGAAATTCGAACACCACTTTTATCTGAAGTTTGTGTTGGTGATGTCGTTCAGAAGAACGATGAAAGCTCCACGACCAAACCATCCAACTCAGAGAACAAAACTCCATCAAAGAAAACGGTGGACACCTATGACTTTGAGTGGAATCAGAACTAGGTCCTTTAGGTTTTGTAAAGAGTGTTACACATTCAGATTACTGATTTGGTATACAATAATTCACATTCCCAACTCCTGTCAATTGTCGATAATGCACAACAATGGAAGTTATTTTTCCATATTTTCTTCTTAAATGAATTTAATAGTCCAGTAAGTTTTTTGTAAGAACTTCCTGGTCTAACTGAAAATACACTTAAGTTACAGTTGAAACTTTAAAAACTAGTTCATAATATTTATTTACATAAAATGCCGAATGTTATTATAAAAACAAAGCATAATCAACGAGAATTTATCAATCCTATTTTCGACAGATGTGTAAATTTACGCATGTCATATTTCAGTTATCTGTTAAACGGGAACTCAGAAAGACAACAAAATACGGTAACCAACATTCGAAGTCAGCTGATTAATCGTATATTATTTCAAACAATCGATTAAAATCTAGCGAATTTTCAAGAACACAGTCGTTACATCAAAACTGGCATCAAATAAAATACTATGTGGAGTGATTAAAGTTTTTCAAATAATAAATAAAAATCGCGTAATACGGGATTTGACACATGTAAATGATACTGTACTCCCTGTCTAAAAACTAAACACCACAGCAAATTCTGGTTTACAAGTGAGTATATTGTCCCTTGCATAATGTAATTCTCGACATACACATGTAAGAAGCAGACAACGATCAACATATCCAAACGACATTTCACTATCTTGAGGACCGTCTGACCAACGTCACATGCCAAGCCACCAATCAGAATCCTGATTCTAATTTCCTCTGTAATTTACTCTAAAGCTTAGTGTCTCTGACTTGGTCAGTTGTACGTTCCACCATGACTACTGACCTTGAGCCGACCGCTAAGCTCCTATTGGTTCACTATTTCCAAACTCCTCCCTACCCTTTGCTTCGGAGCCAAAAGTAGCAACCGTGTTCTACGATATTTATATTTTGAATAGAAATGGTCTATACACAAACATATCAGATCGCATAACACTATAAAATGAAAAAACAACAGTTATACGTGAATACGCGAGAAGTGGTTATGAATAGGTGAGACCATAAGTAATCCAATGGCAACAAATTAGGAATAGTAAATCGTGTAACCATAATTTATAAGTCAACTGAAAGCTTATACCAAATGGAGTACATATACACAACAGTCTAGTTAGTTAGTAATTATACAACAAATTTATAATTCTTAAAACTCCGAAAGCTTAACTTCGACACTATTCGTCCCGTTATAAGATTCATAAATTAAGTATGCACATCAATGGATTCTTGTGCTTGTGAAATTTATAGGTTTTGTTTTGCATTCATTCATCGTAATTCCTGAAGATTTCCTAAAACAGATATCTTTTTTACTATTTCGTTTTCTCTTATTTTCAGCACTTTTCCTTATATTATATGTTCATTCTTGCTCATTGTTTTGGTTTGTTTGATATTATCATTTTTATTTCTTCCATTATAAAGTTTCATTTGTATAAGCTGTCTGACTATTTAGTAAGATTCAGTGGGAGAAGTGAAATCCATCATCATAAGAACGTTTTTAACTGATAACGAAATACTTTAGGAGTATTTCTACAGTCTCTATAATCTAATTGAGAGTCGATGCTTGGAGATCGCTTGATGTAATCTTACTGGATATAAGTAGGTAAAGCTGAGCTAAACTTTAAAGTGAATGGTTAACGAGTGAACTGAGTCAAGGTCACAGTGTATTTATTAAAATAGAGTTAGGGATCAGTGTTAGAAATTCGAATTGGAAATTAAGGTTTTGTACAATAATTGACATCAATTTTAATGCAAGCATCTCAAACTGCATACCCTGAGTGCTAGTCTTAATGTAATAATAAGTAATTTATCAAGCACTTCAATCTGCTGATTGGGTTAACCGGTTGAGATCTCAAAGTCATCGAGCGGTATGGCTCAGCTATACATAGAAATCGATTCAGGAGAAAATGAACAAGTACATAAATAATCTTCATTCAAATAATAACCCTAATTTAAAAATTGGTAACAGTTAAATATTCATATCATCACATAATGTTATGAATGTGACGTCAGTAAATATTTACAGAGGAGATTCGCCAGTCGGAATACTTTTTCGTTTATGACTAAGCGTCCTGGCTAAGTTCTGGTCAGTGATACCTCTCGATTGATATGATAAACCTTGAGATAATCTTGACTCCCATTGATTAGTACGCCTTTATCCTTAATCTTGAGTCCGATAAAAAAACAGCATGCAAGATTCTGTTATTTATATTTCGGGTACCCAGTATGCTATTTTAAAATTCATTGCTTTGTGTACATAAATTATTAGACCTCAGATAAAAAAATAATACTTTACATACAAACATTCTATACGTGGTAAAGAACGAAGCACACAATATGTAACTAAAAAGCAATGATCAAGGAAAAATAAAGTGTACAACGGCAGTCACTTGGTCCAACGGAAGCTAACAAGAAGGGGAATAAGGTACGTAGTAGTCCAATTATTTAATAATCATACAATAAAAAAATAAACAGTAACATTCAATAAAGTAATTCTGAAAATTCCAATATCTTCAATACTCGTGTGGTTGTAACGCATAATTACAAATTTGAGTCACCCACAGGTAATGTACGCTGAATAAAACCAAATCTGATCAGTTGATTCTCTGATATATTTCCTAGCATTGTGCTTTTTTCGATCAATATTTTACTCTTATTGGTTTAACTTGCTATAAATGTATTGCCTGCTCTGAAATGGTGAAAACTGAGACTGGAACTGATCATATGTCTCGTTCGGTAACCTTTTTGAGAAATTGGTTCGAATGTTGTTGAACACTTAATAAATACAACGCATGTTATGTAACCTTTATTGATTGTAATCGGAGTAGTTTGTACAAATAGGATCAACTGCTGATTACTAATTTCTTAGCGCATTATTCACAATAGCAATTTATCTCAGATGTTCGTGATAGATTGTACGTATTTTATAACCAAAATTATTGACATAAAGCGTTAACTGGAACAGAATTTCTTCTTACTAAAATTTGAAACACCTTGTTTTTTCTGATTTGCCCTATGTCATTTAATGAATTTTTATTGATGGTTAGAAGCTATTTGTCGTTTTCATGTTTATAAATCGACTTTCAGCATTTACAATCGATTATTTCCTCAAAATTTAGGGGGCCTGCTGAGACCAGTTGAGTTAGATACTCGACAAAATGCAAGTAGAGTTGAAAATTGATTTCATAGTGGACTCTGTGAACTCATATCCTAAACCAAATCCACCATGAGAGTTCATTATTTGAATCAGATATCTTTTGGAGGTTTATGGCCTAATAGCTATTCTCTTTATTCAACAATGTGATATGGATTCAAATATCTTCATGAGGGATTATACGGTTTACAAGGGAGTAGCTACAAGTTTGGGAACTTTCGCAGCTGTTAGTTTTTACTTGAATTTCACCTGAGCTGATGGTAAATTATTCAAATTTACTAAGCAAAATCTTTAAACTGAAACTACTTCTTGTGCTAATCTTAGATACCGTGAAGTTTATTTAATCTATTGAATTTTATAGTGACACTTAAATTGTACGAACAGTTTACGAATTAAAGTGTTAGAGTCAGTTCCATAAAGTATAGAAATTTTTACTTTATAGATATTTTAAGATGCGTTTATGATTTTAAAATCAAGTCTGAATTTGCACCGTATATGAAGCTTTACTTTATATCCATTTGTTCAGTTACATTTCACAATAATACAACGCAAACGTTCAGTGTCAAGTGTACAAAGTAATATTTTACGTTTTATCAACTTGGTACAAATAGTTCGGTCGTGTTAATTGAGCATTAGGATATTTTAATTGTTTCCCGGTAAATTTTGCTGCGACTAATTTTGTGAGAACTCAATAATTATAGATAAAAGAAATAAAATGATTGGAATATTTGTGCATCTAACTTCAACCAATCCACAATATTGAGCAACCAACTTCCATCGTCCTCCAGGTTTTCAGTGGTGGTTAAATACTGATCGGTTCATAATCTCAATAAAAACCAGAAAATCTTCACAACCTTATAGCGATAAAACATTTGTGCTTGTAGTTCACTCAAACCTTTCAAGTTAAAAGCTCCTTCTGTATTTATATTAAATGATTCACTTTACCAAACTATTTATATATCCTTTATTCATTAGGTCAACGTTGATTATATCTTAGAGTACTTTGGTCATAAAATGTATTTTTTGAAACTGAAATGGAAACAAGTTCAAATACATGAATACAACTAGATATGAATTGTGCCCTTAATGTGAACAACGAATTAAAAATCTTTTCTCTGAATCTTGTAACCTTTTAACTGTTCGGAGTTTTATTTTATCGAAGCCCGACTAGCCACTAACTTTCTGATCGTGATACTTTTTATCTTATCTGATTCGCAAAAAGCTAATCAGTGTTATGAATAGGGGAATAAATGGGAATGGGGAATATTGGAAGCTGTTCTTCTGTGAACCAGGATATTAATTCCCGATGTAGGTTTGTCCAATAATTAATTAGGGGTAGTCTGGTTAATTAACTAATTATATGCTTCCATTAGCCGTTGCTACATATTTTTCCATTCCTAGATTACAGAAAACTAGTCGTAAAGCTACTACTCAGTTTTTTTCCATAAAAATCCTGGTTACTGCACACAATGAGATTTATCGTTTGTGATAGAACATGGTCTTGTTTGTTATGTTTGTTATAATTACATGACTTTCAAAGTCTAAATAGTACAGAGTAGTATTATGTACTCATGGCGTTCTCCTGGAGTTTTACTAGGTAATTTGAAGAACGGGCTACCGATCATTTTAACAAGTACAGTTATCAATGTTTGGGAATCCACTGAAAATAGTACATAAGTAGAGAAGAAACATTAAGTTCAAACAGCTTGTTTAAAAGGTTTTCAGTTATACTCGTGTTCTTCATATCAAAAACGGCTGAGTTTTACGTGTTAACATAGATTTTCTCACTATTTTCGACATGATAGAGTGAAATTCTGAAATCCGTAAATACTGCATTTGTGGGGCGCGTGTTTGTTCTTTTAGCCATAACTTAATTCAACCATCAGTTTGGAGTTATTTTACGAACTGCACAATAGGCCCTTGACATTTTTCACGTTACCGGACATGAACAAAATGTATTCATGAATCTAAATAAAAGTTGATGCATCTCGTAACTCTTTAGAGAAATGACTGATTACAGTAATCAAAATCAATATTTAGTTCAGGAAGACAACAAACCGGGTAATGCAAACATGTGTACGCAGTCATGTGTACGTAAAACTCGGCAAATGAGTAGAAGTTAGTAAGTAGTTATATGAGAATAAGGAAATGATTGATGGGATCAATAAGGATACGTGAAAATGTAGCTAAATAAGGGTTAGTAGCTAATCCTACTGATTCGTACAAAATAACTAACAGGATAAAAGTTAGGTTGTACAGCTGTCAGAGGCAACTAATTTTCGATAAATATACAGTATTTCAGCACCTTTTAAGTGCCTGGTACAGTGATAACCGAGTGGTACGTATGACTGTAAAAATTGACGTTGGACGGTATATTCAAATGCCTTTTAACAGTATATACACCAGTCGTCCTGACATAGTATGTGCAGGGTACTGGAACCTCACTCTAGTGGTGCTTTTCAGGTGATGAGAGAGGCTGATGCAATAACTAGCACAAAGATCTACAATCAGGGAAGATTCAAATAATTGTAAACTTCGACCGACCTACATTGATGAACAAACCTCATTTACAACATCACTATTGTGACTTTAAGCCCGGCTGGTTGTCACGCGATTTACTCGCCAATCGAGATACGACTTATCCAATCTTAGTACTATGCTAAACCAATGACGTTCGACCGGTATGAGCAACCTAGAGTTATTATTGGTCCTTTGTTCGCCTAGTCGATCCAGTTGAGTCTAGAGCATCAGTACAGCTTCTACTATGCGAATCATTTATTTCAAACATACTTGATTTATATACCAGCCAAACAGACCGTATCATACCATAAAATAGGAAATAACATTTATACAAGATCAAGCCAAGAAGTGGCTGTGAACGTGGGAGACGGTAGTTAATAAACTGAGTATAGCTTAAGAACACTAAATCGTATAATAATAATAATCTATAGGTCGAAATGAAGCTTATAATAAGAGGAATATAAATATATGTAATCTAGTTACTGAACAGTTATACAATAGGAATATATATAATATTAGTCCATTAATAGTTCTCAGAAGTTACCCGTAATTTAATCTTCGCTGGAATATAACAATCATGGAGGAAAATAAGCAACAAAAACAATGCACCAGGACAAAAGTAATCACGAATCCGATCATTTGACCATTAATTACGTCCAAATAATACTTTCCCGAGTGTAAGTTTATTTATCAATATTTTTTTCAAATTTAATACCTTTATCACATAAATTTTGCACAAATATCGGTAACATATATTACCTGAATCTATGTAACATTTTGATTTATCATTTTCTCAATAATTAAATAGGAAGATAGCTGAGTACAATTGAACGTTCAATCTATTTGTGATAAATTCATAAGCATACAATCGTTTTCACCAATGAAAAACGTAACATGAAAGTACAACAGCATTTTGTCCTGTATCCTTATATGCTTGATAAACAGGAAAAATTCTAAGAGCGCCTTTCAAACTATGTTCCCAAGACATTCTTAATAATCTGGGAATGCAATCATAAATTATGAATTTTTCAAACAAATCAGTTAAATTACAGATTCTATTCGAATTATATCAAGCAGACTGCAGTTCATCACAATAATCTATGCATTAGCTTGCAAAATCGCATAAAAAATAACTTCATTATAAAATTTATTGAACGAATATATCCATACACAAACTTAAGTTGCTTTCTTGAAACAAATAACAAAAAAATAAAAGATGAGGGAGTAATTGACTTTGTACAGAATGTAACACACATTTGTTTGTTATATTATTAACGTAACTGCATATAAATTATTTCTGGATTCACTTTTACATGCATTTACACTAAATGGCATCACTAATATTCGGTAAAAAATATCAACAACTCTATGAAGACGGTTTATTTTCTTTATCTTCTTCGTTCACACACTCAATCATATGCTCTGATTCATTTGTGGCCACCACTTCAGCAGGGACGATATCACCAGAATGTGCTTGTTTCATGTAGTAATATAGACCTCTATGAAACAAAATAGTGACGAGGACATGGTTTTAGACATATATAGTCAGTTAGTTTGTGGGAAATTACATTGACACATAAGTTTATTCGTTATTTGCCAGTAAATCTTGAACGCAGAATGACTTTATAGGTTTCTCTTTTTTAATTTCATTTATTTTTCAAATTACTTTTCTGTTTATTTATGGTCATTTACTGACATCCTCGACGCTATTTTCACACGTTTGCTTTGATTCCTATTTATTTCCTGTGGGATGTATTAACTTGAACCCGGTACACATCTGTCCCAGATTCCATGTTTTCTGTTCCGTATAAAGTAGTTTCAAAAGTTTTTTAGTGTGAACGGAAATTTTCCTAGTTGCAGTCCATAAAAAATCGGGTACGAGTGTATATGAGAAATAATCAGGTGTTGATATTAATATTCAGAGTAATAAGTCAATAACATTGGTCATATGTAAAAGTTTGCACTAACCGTTTGTGTTGCGCTGACAAAAGAATAAGTAAACAATAAATGGTCACACATATAAACAACAGTAATTAATTTTAGTAAACACTTACGCATCAGTCTGTTGTTTAGGGAATAGAACACGTTCAACTGCACCGGAAGGCATACATATATCGTGAATGGGCTGATCGTGTTTGAATAGTTTATGAGTAACAATCCGAGGCAATTGGTCAGGTTCAGGTTTTACGACTGGGACTTGATGTCTTCGCCAATCCCCCTTTGATACAACCAAATAAGAAATGAGCTCGCTAGACGGTTCACTTTTGAACTGAAAATCAATAACATTAGAAAATACTACCGTTTGAATTAAAGGAAAATGAGCGAAATAGTTCTATATAACTTAGTGTGAAACAATATAGAAAGGTATAAAATAAACAGTCGGGTGCACAGTAAAAAACAATGATGATGAGACACTATCTTGTTGAGTGTACAGTAACTACACGATTTAAATGTGGGCTTTACACATAACAAAGAGTTGAACATTAACTTGATAATGTATAATAACTGTGTTCAGTGTATCTGAACGAAAATGCTATTGATCGACAAGTTTCATCATAAGAAATATTAACAACTTCATAATAAATATATTTTTGTTATACCCTAATGAGTAGAAAAATTGTATTTCTGATGTTTCGCGACTTAATGTAAGCCACTTCTTCAGAGTAAATAGTCTCAATAGACATCAACAATTTCCTAACATTAGACTTGACATATAACTAATTTATCCCTTCTAAAAGTCAACAAGATAAATAATTCAACAAAATATTTTAAAAAATTATGGAATTCGGTCAATGGTTCTCCTATTTCTTTGTTCAATATCAAATAAATGAATACTTACTCGCGTTAATCCAAAGTTGTAATATCGTACAACAATGTTACAGTTGGAATCCTTTTTTCCACAAGTCTGCACATGAGGACACTAAAAATAATTATAAAGCATTAACAATTCATTCTAATATACGGGATTTCGTTTGCAATATAATTGCAGAAATATGTCAGTAATGATATTGGGAAGTGGCGAGTGTGATGTAGCAAATTGCAAATGAAGAAATTCGGCTTAGTAGGAACTGAGATGCCATTGGAGTATTCTTCATTTTCAAGCAGCACATGGTGAACTAAGGTACAATAGTTAGGAATCTTTAATGAAGTTTAGTACTAGTACTACTAGTAGTAGGACAAAATACATTATTTCTACTCCCACAACTGACATAATATAAGAATATTTAAAGGTACAGCCATTAAACTAGTCTATCAAATGACTAGTTTGAAAATTTTAAACTTCTATGGAAATAAATGGAATATTTATCAGCAGCAGTAACTCTCAACAAAGTCGAGTGTGCGAAAGTTGTTATATATAGAAACTACAAACAAAGTTGCACAAAACATTTTACCCTGATAAATAACGGAATTTTAACACTTTTAAAAGTTCAAAGTTAATACTAACGATTACTTACTGGACTGAAAATATGAACATCAGGTCCCCCATTTGTGCGCTGGAAAAAAGTTTTAAATAACGCGCTTGAATGCTCTTTTAACAAAGTATGGAGAGCGATTATTACAGTTGTGTGGTAAAATAAGCAGTGTTATATGATCTTAAATAATTGTTAAATTTTAACATACAAATGATTACAAAAGATTTAACATGAGCTTATGGGACCAGGTAAACATTTCGCACGATCATAATCAGGAAATATATAAACTATAAACTTGTCATTTATGGAGAAAATATTAACACATTTACCAATCAAAAACTATTACTCAGAATTCAAAATAGCTAGTAAATTGGAATTGTTTCTCGCTTTTTCCAATTTTTTCTTATTAAGAGAAGTGATGTGTACATACAAAGATCCACCTAAATAAAAATAACACGGAATAGGCAGTTAATTGAATTCTCTACATTGTTAAATCTTGGGAGAAAAAAGGGAATCTATCTATTTCTCATCCCTGATATTTTGAATATCGATTGCAAAAACATAATATTTTTCAAAAGAAACTAATTTGAAAACTATTTAAAATAGAAAAGATGGAATATGGTAAGTAGTGGAATCCGGAACGCACGTTTCGTCTTGTTTGGGACTCGTCAGTTGGCTGTACCTGCATCCCAGAACTAAAGAAACGAGTGGAAAACATTAGAGTTGATGAGCAAAAATATATGGAAGACATAGCAATGACAGCAGAAAAGTTGTAAGATAACGAAGTATGGGAGAACTATATGGTACAACCAAAGTTAGTAGGTGAATATAGTAAACCAAAGCAACCAGTCAGGGAAAAATAAGGAAAATCAATCACTGAGGTTCAACAGCAGAGGAACAGGTGGGTAGGGCACTTTAAAAAGTTCTTGAGTAGATTGGCCCCACTGAATCAACCGGACATCGAGGCGGTAAACAAAGACCTCCCTTATGTGTCACCTACCTCACCAACTACAGGAATCAGTAAGGCCATTAGACAAATCAGAAGTGGGGAAGCAGTAGAACCAGATAGCATACTAGATGAAGCCCATAAAGTCAGATATAGTGGCAACTGCAAACATAATACACATTCTTTTCCTAAAGATTTGGGAGGAAGAACATGTACCAACACACTGGAAAGGGGTACACCTAATCAAAATACTAAAAAAGGGAGATCTTAGTAAGCGTAAGAAATACGGAGACATGACACTACTGTCAGCACCAGGCCAAATTTTCGGTAGAGCGTTGCTAAACTGGGTGGAAAATTCAGTGAAAGCCCAACTTCCAAACCCATAAGCTGGCTTTCGAAAGAATCAATCATGTACTGTCCAAAGCGCGACACTGTAGATCATTGTTGAACAATCAGTAACCTGGAACTCATTGCTATACATCAACTTTCTTGATTATGGAAAGCCATTTAACAATGTGGCTAAGAAAACCTTGTGGGATCTTCAACACTATGGATTACCTGAGAGAACCATTACTATTATACGGAACTCCTACAATGAACTAAATTACAGATCCGTGCATAGACGGCAGTTCACAGATGCGTTTCAAGTGAAGAGTGATCCAACCTAAGACTGCTTGCTCACGCCTGTTGCCTATCTCCTAGTTGCTTACTCAATTATGAAGACCAAATCTTAGAGGAAGCACGGAATACAGTGAACACCATGGATGCGGTTGGATGATTTAAACTTTATAGACGATCCATCCCTTCTAAAGCACACAGTAAAAAACGAAAGTGACGAAAACCATGGTACCAAAGTGTCTCAGCATCCACAAGGGTAAAAATAGGATCCCGCGACACAATACAATGAGCAGCTACCAAGTCACCTTTGATGAAAAGTATCTCCAGGAGGTGAAAACCTTCACGTATCTGGCAGGAGAATCTAATGAAAATGTGAATGTATGGATAAGCAAAGCAAGGGCAGTGTTTCGATGATTGAAGAACATCTGGAACTCAAGACAACGGTCGGTAAACACAAAAGTCAGAATTTTCAATACACAAACCAAGAAAGTTCTATTGTATGTCATCTAAAGTTGGAGAACAACTGAAATCATCATTAAAAAAGTACAAATATTTATAATCAGCTGTCTATGAAAGATATCCCAGATCAATTAGGGAACGGCCATCAGTAATCACCTACACTGGGAGAGAACAAATCAGCTTACAACTGAGGAGAAATTTAGGAAAAGACACTGAAGGTAGACTGGTCACAAATTGCGGAAATTATCGAAATACATCACAAAGCAAGCCTCAACATGAAATCCTCAAGGCGAAACGAAAAGAAGACCAAAGAATATATCGCCCCGGGAATGGGAGATAGATATCAAAAGCATAAAGAAAGGGAACTGGAAAAAAAAGAGACCAAAACAAAGTTTGTTGATGATTCTTGATCAATGGCCTATTTTTCAATAAAGGTAACAGGCCTAAGAAAGTAAGTCAACAATTCAATACACCTTATGTAATCCTAACTTATGATTTGCTCCCATAATTATTATGATATTTCACTGCTAACACTTGTTTTTCGACAATAGAGTGACACATTTACTGTTTGTGTATGAATGGGAAACTTGAAAATAAATTCATTAAGGATTTGCTTCTCTAATTTTTGTAGTGCAAGGACAAATTTATTGATTCTTAAATTTAGATAATAATTTTCATAATTAGTAAGGAATTTAAAAAATCAAATTGACAAACCAAAAAGTCCCTTGCTTCAAGTATTGCCTGAAATCCGGACTTTGTTCCTTGTTCAATAAAGACCAGAAAATCAGTTGTTTTCTCCCACAATGATGAAATAACACGTGAACGAGAAGATTTGCATGGGATTTCCAGTAAAGTGTTAGCACAGACTACCAAATTATATTGATTCTTTTTTATGAAGAAAAAATGAAATCGACGAAACAGTAGAATAATTTTGTTTGTGTTCTTTCTTTAAAAAAGGCTACGGAAGTTTGATTTAGTAATCATGGTAATAAACATGGTTTGAATTAAAATCAAACAAATAGCAGCATAAATACTGAGAAATTGGGATTTATAGGGTAGAGCAAACTATATTACAGACACGTTTCACTCCAAAATAACATTCGAACGATACTTAAACCAGAACTTTTTCGAAGATGACAACTAGATGCAGAAAACAGAAAACTTGATGGAGTTCCAACTATGATCAAAGAGAACTAAGCACTTAAAGAATTTCAGTAACGTAAATGAAACATTTCACGTGATCAACTTTACACAGCAAAAATGATGCCATACTGTTCCCCGGAACAATAATTTAACCTTTTGTGGTAGTATCTGACACATGATATGATAGTTATCACAGAAGTTTATAGTTTACACCACCTTCTGACTTTGGATTATAGTAAACCCGAAATATGTGTGAGTTTGGTTGAACACATGTCTGCACCTCAATCTTTATATATCTTCCCACTGGTTGTAAACACGAACAAGCAATAACTTACCCGCAATCGAAAACTTAATTAAGCCTGCTACCCCTTGTGGAGAAGCATAGACTGCTCAAGGAGCATTCTTCATACAACTCTGTCCTGGGCAATACTTTTCATTTGCTATTCAACCTTTCCATGTCCGCTTCCCATTCTCGAAGCAGTGTATTCTTTGGCCTTCCTTGTTTCTGTTTGCCCTGACAATTCCAAGTTAGAGCTTGCATCGTGATACAGTTTGGTGATTTCCACTATGTATGTCCTATCCACCATCAATGTCTTTTCCTAGTTTCCTCCTTAGTTGGAAGCTGGTTTATTCTCTCCCACAGTAGGCTGTTGCCGATGGTATCCGATCAACGGGCACTGAGTACCTTGTGTAGACAATCGCTTACAAACACTTGTACTTTTTGATGATGGTTGTGGTATCTCATCAAGTTTCAGCTCCGTACAGTAGAACTATCTTAACGTTCGTATTGAAGATTCTGACTTTGGTGTTAGTTGACAGTTGTTTTCAGGTCCATATGTTATTCAACTGTAGGAATGCTGCTATTGCTTTACCAGTCCTTACCTTTACGTCTGCATCAGATCCTCCTTGTTCATCAATGATGCTGTCCAAGTACGTGATTTTTCACCTGTTCCAGAGTTTGTCCATCAAATGTGATTTAGTTGGCGTTCTCCGTATTGTATTTGAGGATCTTTCATTTTCCTTTATGAATGTTGGGACCTACTGATGCAGAGGCTACTGCTACACTGGTTGTCTTGACCTGCATCGGTTTGTGAGTATGGGACAGAAGGGCCAAGTCATCCGAGAAGTCCAGATCGTCTAGTTGCATGCAAGCTGTCCATCCTATTTCTTGCATCACCACCTCAGATGTAGAGGTCTTTATAATCCAGTCAACCACCAGAAGAAAGAGGAAGGGAGAGAGTAAGTAGCCCTGTCTGACTCTGGTCGTCACTTAGAGTGCGTCTGTCAGCTGTCCTCCATGCACCACTTTGCAATGAATTCCGGATGATATTGACGATTTTCTCAGGTACACCAGTGTCTAAGAAGGTTCTCCCACTGTTATAACTTGTGACTTGTGTGTCCTACTAATGTATAGCGTAACAATACCGCCAATTAGAGAGCAGTGAATTATCGATCGGAGCAATGACGCGTAAAACCCGTAAGAGCAGTCTAGAGTACTTATCGGTCCTGCTTTCCGCCTAGCCCAGCCAGTCAAGTCCAGAACACCAATCTCAGTCTCTGTGATATGAATAGTTTATTTCAACCATACTGGGTTTATAAACCAACCAGACAGAACACATCCTACCATAAAATAGGAAACGACATTTGTACAAGATTTAGCCAAAAGTGGCTGTGAGTGTGGGAGGTAGTAATTAATAGACAGGGCATAATTCAAGAATGGTAAATCGTATAATAATAGTTCATAGATCAAAATAAAGCTCATAATAAGAGGGACATGAATATGAATAGTTTAGTTATTTAACAATTATACGATAAAAATATAAGTTAGTATTGGTCCATAAATGGATCCCAAAAGTTACCATTCATTATGCTTATCGGGACATAACAACCACCCACGTTGTCGAACACCTCATAGTCAAGGAAGTTGATGTATGGTGACGATTTTCAGTCAAATGACTGCTCAACAATGATCCTTAGTGTCGCGATTTAGTCTATTCACGACTGATCCTTACGGAATCCAGCCTGTTGATCTCGAAGATGGGTGTCTACTGAATATTTTATCCTGTTCAGCAACACTCTGTTGGAAACTCTTCCTGGTACCATTAGTAGTGTGATACCTCTGTAGCTTCCACATTGGCTCAGATCTCTTTTCTTTGGTATCTCGATGAGATATCCTTCTTTCCAGTCTGTTGGCACTTGTTCCTTACCCTATATCTTCCTGGATAGAAAGTACAGCATGTTTGCAGCTGCTTCTATGACTGACTTTATTGCTTCGGCTGGTATATTGTCAGGTCCTACTGCTTTCCCACATTTGATTTGTCTGATGGACATCCTGATTTCTTCGATCGTTGGTGAAGTGGTACCTACCGGTGGGTCCAGTGGAGCTGGATTATTCAAGAATTCCTCGAAGTGTTCCACTCATCTGTTCCTCTGTTCTTAAATCTCAGTGATTAACTTTCCTTCTTTATCCTTGACCAGTCTCTCTGCTTTACTATATTTTCCTGCCAGTTTCTTCGTTATATCATAAAGTTGTCTGATATTTCCTTCTCATGCAGCTTTTTCGGCTGTTCTTATTGATAATATACTATCCCAACTCCTGATGTCCATAGTACTACTAGGACCACTGACCTGCTAAAATACTCAGTTAACGAGGCATCATGTTGTGGTCGAGTGGGGAGGAATTGACCTCTACAAGATAACGACTGAAGATCAATGGTTGTCTAAGGTCGATCCATGATGAAAACTACGAAAATTAAAAACTCACAAACCCCCCTATACTGTCATAGAACTTTTTTATGCAGATTTCTGCAAGAAAATTTGTGAATATCTTCAGTTTAATCACATATGTTACATTGTGTATTCAGAAAACTAATAGGTAAATTAGTTTACTTCTACTGACTGAGAATGTGCTTCAAATATGTATATCCTTAAGCGAAAGAAACCAGTAGCGTAAGAAAAGAAATAAAGTAAGGTGAAACAAACTCTTAGTTTAGACTATTAGTCTTGTAAGAACATAGACAAAAAGCAGACAACCAGTCAATAAAAATACTGCTTTTGATTAGAATAGCTTTGATAACCTTCCCAATGTTAATGCTATCAGATTCATATGCAGGAAAATACACAACACAGTCCAATACTATGACCTATAGCAAACCATGTTCATCGATAGCGAAACATATAATTGAAACGGGGCACAAAATTGACAAATCAACATACTCATGTTAAGTTACAGATAAACAATATAAGGTATTCGCTAAAGATGGACGTTATCCAACTGTTTCTGTCTAGGCTTAAATACGTAGAGAATGTTAAAACAGTTCACATTTTATTAAACTTTTATAAAAAAAACCATACTAATAGTAGTTTGTCAATAAATTTTCCCCTACTTAAAATTAAACTTTACATCCAGTCAAACGAAACGTTTCAATAGGGATTGGTGAACTTCCTGGAATCAACTTAACCTTCTTTAAAAAATATAAAACGTCATGAGGTCGTATTTCGTCATATCATCTAATATCAAGTAGAGAAAAAGCCCGTTTCAGTTGCTAGTTCCCCTACATTACCGGTAGCTTTTATACACGAGGTCTCCGAACGAGTAAATTAATGAGAATATACAATAACTGGTATACCATATAGATTACCCAACTCATAGTAAATTTGAGAGCTTTAATAGGCAAGTCACAATGGCAGGATTTCATCTGCATAAAGCCACTTAACAGTGTGATTTATCAATAAAAGACAACTTTAAGTTCCACGGACAATGTTGAAAGATACCATCGCTTTGTGATATGACCTATTAACTCAACAGCTCAGTAACTAACAGCACAAATTTGCCCTATCTTCAATCATAGTTTACTTTCGGAACCCGGCAACTGAGAAAACTAATAACCGAATGTGATCAGTGGAAAACGTGTGTGATTAGTGTTTATGAACAGCAGTTACTAAGAATAAACTTCAGGAAGCCAAATGCAATTTTTTCCTATAAGTCCGTTTCCGCGTTAACGTTATCGACTCTATGGTATCTGTTTTTATTTAACCACAAAGTTGGTCAAAGGAGGATCCATTGGTGGCAACTGTCTACTTACATGTCGAGCTTATGACAATAAGACCGTAATTCAGAAACCGTTGTATTCTAATATACCTAGTGTTATGTTCGTTAACTTGAATACTACTACTGATTCGTCTTACTCGGAACGGAACGAAGAATCAAGGACTCAGAGACTCGATAAGCTATACTGGTCCGTTGTCCCCGACTCAGCTAACTCGATCCAGAAGTCTTGGTAAGATGTAGAAAGTATATTCTACAGACAACCAGAAGATACCAGGTCCCTCAAGCACACAAATCAAGCGTATTTATACAAAAAATATATAGTCGATATTGCCATGGAAGTTTTTAAACATTTAATCGATAACTTCGTCAGTCGACTGCCATTGAAATATTTGAGCATTTAATCGATAAGTTCGTCAATCGACTATTTGCGTGGGTGGTAAGAAATGCCCAAGCATGCATCTGCATACAAGCTCCACAAAGATAAAATTACAAAATATGAGTTTTGGGGATCTAACGTCCCCAACACCTAACAAACCATGAAGAGAATTAGAAAGACTTTTTGTGACCATTATCCAATGCAACTCATCAGCCTAAGTAAATACATGTTAAAAACCTTACCTTAATGTACTGAATACTTTTATGAAATGTTTAATGCCGACTACACTATCTAGGCCAGTAGCTGAAGTTTATGTAACCTAGTACACAAGTATAATTAGTAAACCATTTTGAGGATAAAATTCCGATGCTTGTAAAAGCAGAAAGCTACCTAGTTCATAACCTTACAGAAAATATAATTTTGGGTAACACTACGACAAGTGAGGAAGATTAATGAATATATGTCCCGTTGTGAGTTTGAATAAATTAAGAAAAACGACAAACGTAAAGTCGATTACCTTGGTACTAGGCATGAAGCGGCGATGGTAAACACCAGGAAACACAAATTCAGAGGGTTGAACACTCCCCTGCTTTTGAAACATAAACTCCGATATTCGTGTCATATGTAATGATGGTTCCACCAGATAATGATGGCGTACGCAACCAACTGGCCAGACTGTGTTTGTCGCCCTAAATTTTCAGCGTATAACAGAGGAAAAAATTAAGTGAATCAAACGAACTACGAATAATGACGAAAAAAGTATATTAGTGATTAATTAGTTATAATCTAAGTTAGTAGGTCACTAGACCAGTGGAATGACAAAAATGAGACTTTTCAAGTATCATCTTGCATTCAATCTAAAATTCCATTTCACTAAAAATATCTTGAAAAAAAACACGTTTCTACTTTGTTATATTACAGTTGGTATTCGCGCTATGGAGTGAAAATGATTATACTGAAAAAGCAACAAGATTTATAAAGATGGTAAGAAGAAATTTAGCGGTTTTATCGGGAAGTAAACAGGAATCTTAAATCTATCGAACGCTGCTATGTTAATTGATTTAGTTGCTCACTTTTTGGCGAATTAATGTACTTTTTATATATGATACTGTTTGTCCGTAACATGATAACCTTATATGACTGACGAAATACAATGGATTCTAAATTTGGACAACTCTGAGAGAACAATCTGTTTCTTACTGATAACTTTCTCGGCATCTAAGTCCTACTGCATGAAAAACTGGAACTTTATTGCAGTCCAAATTAAAGAGGATATATATATGAATACTTCTGGATAGATGCTTTGGTATAGCAAAAAGATAGGAAGCAATTGTATTGCGATTTCCTTCATCAAACTCCATATCAATAAATCAAGAGAAAAAGCAAGATGGGATTAAGTCCCGACTTTTATAATCCCTTCTCATTCTGTAATAGAAGATAACAGTTAGTTTTTGTTATACATATAACAATACGGTTTCAATATGAATCAAAATTTTCCTTTAGTGTACTGTTTCCATACATTTATTTTCCTTGAAAAGGATAAAACTGACACGAATTCATTCCACTTCACTAGATAGCCATAAACCGGTAACACTCTTCATCTAGAAATATTTGTTTATGACATCAGTCAGACAGTCACAACCAACGTAAGCAAGCTGGTTCAAATGTATATTGGCCCAAGTACAATAAATACATTTTAAATTCCGGGTATAATTTCCAAAATGATATCCTACTTCTTAGCCTCAGCAAACAAAAATAGATTATAGTTCCACTGTTATCTTGTGTTCTCAATGTTGCAGGTTATGAAAGCTGGCTAAATATCAACGAAACAAAATGAAGTCACTCTGTTTCACAGATAAACCAGTTATTTTTATTACTACCACTCTGATATAATACAAGCTTAGGGGATGTGCGTTTACATCTATGCGTCCCGACATGGTCATGATAAGGCATAAGTACCACCACTAGATTAGAGATAGTAGAGGAAGTCAAATTATTTACAGTGTATTGTAATTTACAGACAATTATTCCGTTGCAGTATATGCATCAAAAAAGTCACTTCTCAATAAACTAAAATAGTACTAGTTGACAATGTAGAATTCCAGTGTGAGAGATCTGTAATAAAAATTCATCAAGAATACTCACCAGGTGACTGTTCCGAGCCCAGAGCCAAAATCAAATAATGACTTTGGAATAAAACTTGGGCATCGTTTACGGATTTCGTACAAGACGCGGCAAACGGTAGCAAAGTTGGGTGCCAAACGTGAGACAAGGTACAGCTCACAAGTATGCCCAGAGTAACTAAAACAGGGAATAGAGAATTAGCTCGAAGTTTTAGGATCGGCTTGGCAATAAAAAACGGAAAAAACCACGCTTCAAAACCAACCACTTCAGGTATGTCTGCTACTGATAAAAAAACGGAAACCAAAAACAACGAGAACACAATATTATAATGATTATACTACAGTATTAAGTGAAAGTAATCAGAAAATTGATTGGAATTTCTCAATATTTATTTTATTCCAAATGTGCGGAAATCTATAGAAATATAAGATGATCTGTAATATTCCCAATGGCAGATAAGCCAATCCTTGGATCTTCGATGTACAACTAAAATATCTGAAAGTGATATATTTGCTAACGAACGAAAACAGAAAATTCGAACTACTAAGTATATGGGAATCATTGATGGTGACAGAACATCCTCTCGATACCATATCCATGCTCAGACAAGTGATTTGATTAACTAATAAGCAATTGGAAGTCAATGGTAAAAGTGGAAGAGGACAATTATCATGTTTGTAGCAAATTATGATAAATAGTTCATAAGGTGACTTTAGTCATCAACCTTGCTAACACAATTGAATCCATGCAAAGTTGATTATCTATTTATTTGAACACATAAATATTGGTACAAGAGTGCGCCAAATATATATGCGCCACACAAAACAATGAAAATTTAAGGGGAAAGAAAAAAAGAGAATAATAACGAAGAGATTGATGTAAGGTAGTGTAATAATAATAATAGTAATAATGGAGGAACAGAAAGGTACAATCAGAAGAAATCATTCAGTTAAGGAAGATACAACCACTGCTTATGAAGAAAGTAAAAGAAGGTTACAGCAGGATCGCCGCTGGCTTCTATCCTGAGCCATATCTGATATCGTCTCTAGTCACTGTGTAGCACCATTTCTCGGACCCCAACCAGGGAATCAAGAAGGACCAACAGAAGCCAGCCCTTTGCAGCTTTCTTTCATACCCCGACACTATGTCGTACACTGACCACCTCTCCGCTTTTTCCAACCAGTCCCAGAGTCGGCAAATAATGCACGACGTGGAATCCTCTGGGACGACATTCGTAGAACATGTCCAAGCCACCGAAGTCGGTGTTTCAAGATGGTGACGCCGATTGCATTATCGTCTCTGTGCCCGAACACACGATGCCGAACCTCTGCATTACTAAAATGGAGCAGCCACTGGATGTCAACAATCCTTCGGAGACAACGATGATCGAACACAGAGAGTCGTTCAACGTCCTCAACTCGGAGAGGCCAGGTTTCACAAGCATAGGGTAAAACTGCTCTTACCGACGCGTTGTAGATCCGACCTTTTACAGCCAGACTAACATCACGAAGGCGCCAAAGATGGCCCACATTGGCATAAGCCGCTCTGGCTTTCACTATTCCTGAATTGATCTCTTCATTCGCGCCACCACCAGCACTTATGCAGCTACCTAGATACACGAACTTCTCGACTACTTCTATCTGTTCACCATCCAGAGTGAGTACAGGATTAGAATCCTGCCAGTCTTGTGGAAGTACTTTGCACTTAGAAGGTGCAAAGCACATACTGTACCTACGGACACTGATTGCCAACTGATTAAGTGAGGATTGCATGCTTTGGGCACTATCGCACAGTAAGGCAATATCACCTGCATACTCAAGATCGAGAAGGCTTTCTCCGGGCAACAGATCCACATCGCTATTACTTACATCCATCGGAGCTGTTTCCAGAATGTCATCGACGGCAAAGTTGGAGAGGAATGGTGCGATTGGGCAACCCTGGCTAACCCCACTGCTCGAATGGAACAATGGAGAGAGATGGTTGTATGCCCTCACTCTGCCTGAGGTGTTTGTATGTAATGCTTTCAGGATGTTAATAAACTTCTCAGACACACCCTTCTTCAATAGACAATCCCAGAGAACAGTCCTGTCCAACGAATCGAAGGCAGTCCTGATGTCAAGAAACACTACGATTGTTGGCCTCTGATAAGTATGGCGGTGTTCTAACATTTGGCGGAGGGTAAAGATATGATCAATACATCCTCGACCGGAACGAAACCCAGCCTGCTCCTCACCAGTCAATCATTCTCGGCTTTTGAACAACCTGCGAAGTATGACGGAAGCCAATAGCTTGGACGCAATCGGAAGTCGATAGTTGTTACAGGAACGACGTGAACCCTTTTTAAAGATAGGGACAACTATCGACTCATTCCATGATGTTGGTACACTCTCTAGCTCCCACACTTTTGTAAACAACGTCGTCAGTTTCTTAGTCAGAAAGTCACCACCATCTTTAAAAAGAGCCGGAGGTAAGTCATCTGGGCCAGGTGATTTGTAGCGCTTCAAGAGTTGGGGTTCCTTGAGGACTTCCGCCTCATTTGGTGGATCAGTCGTCACCGACCATGGAGGGCAGGACAGTCTGATCGATGTTGCCGGGGCAGCAGGCCAGTTGAACTGCCCTTCGAAAAATTCTGCCCATCGTCCAAGACGTCGATGGATGTTAGTGATTGGCATCCAATCATCCTCGCAGATTGTTTCGCTCACACCAGACTTCTTGCTGCCAGTGGCTCGGATGAGTTGGAAGAGCTTCCGGTAGTTACCAGATGCAGCTGCTGCTTCCAGCTCATTGGCACGCTCCGACCACCAGGCTTCTCGGTCCTTACGCAAGCTTTGCTCAACTTCCTTACGTAACATCCTTCGTTTGTTGTCAAACTCACGGTCACCAGGAGTAGACCGACGGGCTTCAATGAGTTGTAAGGAACCTGAAGAAACCCAGTGCTTATAAGCGGGACGTTTCGCGAACCCACAACTGACTGTACCCACCATTTTCATGGCGTCATGCAATTGCAACCAATGCTCATCTATACTTTTCGGTGGAATGGTATCTAGCCTACAAGCTAGCTCGGTTCGATACTTACTAGCAACAGAAGTCGCAACTAGCTTGCTATTATTAGTCCGTTGATGGCGGTCAGTTCGTTGACCACTGTAAAGTAAGGTGAGATTGGCACAGACCAAAGCATGGTCAGAGTCCAGATAGGTACTCCAAAAGGAGCGGCAGTCTTGTACACAACCACGCCAGAGGTAGCTGATCGCGATGTGATCAATCTGAGTCCAGGCTTGAGATGCAGAAGGCGGACGCCAGGTGGCACATCGGCGATGACTGTGCCGGAAGTTAGTGCTAGCCAGAAACAGGTTGTGGTCTGTGCAAAGTTGCAGTAGACGGTCCCCGTTATCTGTTCTGCGACCAACAAGTCCCCATCGGCCACCTAAACGACTCTCTTCTGTGCCTAGACGCCCGACCTGAGCATTCAAGTCTCCGGCTAGTACTACAATATCTGTCGAACGTACTTTCTGGAGTAGAACAGTTAAATGGTGGTAGAATTCTTCCTCGATTGCATCCGGGCTGCAATCTGTCGGAGCATAGGCGGAGACGACGAAAAGACATCGTTTCTCACGCCGGTTTCTTCTCACTTTGATGGAACTTTCTAATCTAACAGCACATAACCGACTGTTAATAGGGACCCAATCGATTAGTGCTGCCTCAGCTCTAGCGCTTAGTGCGACACCAACGCCAGCAAGACCAGACGAAGATGCCACAGGGCCCCCGGATAAGCGCACGTAAAACAAGCCTTTCGAAGCGACAAATGGAGAGCGCATTTGTAGTACTTCACCAGAGTCTTGAATACGGGTCTCAGATAGACAGCAAACATCGATATTAAGACTTTCTAAAGACATAGCCAGCCCTATCTGTTGTCCGTCCTGCATAAGTGTGCGAACGTTGAAGGCAGCCAGTTTGAATGGTGCACGTGGTTTCAGAAAGACTGCTTCAGTACTCATATTCGGTGGTAACATACAATTTTCAACCGGACAGTGACTCGAGAACGTTTAGATAGAGTCGAATTTCCACCAAAGACGAGCTGCTGTATAAGTCAAAAAATAAGTATAGACAGAGTAGGAATAAAATAGGGTGAATAATGTCGTAGTAAATAATAATAATAATAACAATAATAGGAATGATAATAATTTGAATCATTTGATTGTTATTCGAAGCGAGAAAAGCAGTTTCCATAGATATAAAGAGTTCATCATAATTGTGAGTGGGCTGCGATACTGCCCGGGTGCCCAGACTGAAGCAGGTGGTTATCTTAGGGGGCCACACCCCGAGCCTTTGACCTAAAGGTCTAAACCACAAGGCAGTGGAGCATCGTAAGGAGATGCAGTCCCATGGTAGCCGGTGACCAACGATTGGTCCATACGCCATTTGTTCCCATAGGATACTAGAGCCCATGTACACCATTGGTTTGGGATCCGGACATTCGCTTTTGGTTCTCTCATTTTCGTAAACAACACCCCCGCCACGAGAAGGCAGTGAGTAGGACTTCCCTGGCAGAGGCTATATACGCGTGGCCATGTGAGAGTACTTCGAGAGGGAGGGCGGACCCAACCCGCTCTCGGCCATACCAGGGCATTGTTTAAAAAAGCAACTTTAGAGGCGAAATTGAATCATCAATAAACTAGATAGTCAAAAGACAAATCATACAATGTCGTTACACAACAGTCACTAATGCATTTTAAAGACTTTATTATTATTATATTATATTATATTATAATATCATATGAATTTATTTCTAAAGGCCGAAATATTACTCAATGGGGAAATAAGGAGTGATGCATGTTCAGACTTTTCTCTACCAACAAAAAACGAGTATTTCATAGATAAAATCAAATACCTTAAATTATTTAGTGAGAATGTGATGTGGGCAAGGTGAAAGCTTACCTTAGTGATTTCCATGACTTTAAATCCGATTCTCTACTAATTTGGGCTTCACGTTGAGAAGTAAAGTTCTTCAGAGCGAACATCAGACCTTCGTCTTCGTCCCATGAATCCAAGTCCCCGGAGTCCTCAATTTTCGACGATTTACGGATAACTTTTTCCTATGGTAGAATTTAAAAAGCCGTCACTGATGTTCGGTCTTATAATTTGGATTCAAAAAACAGGCGTCGAAGAATTAGGCGACGTAAAAACATATTCATGACATGAACAAATGAATAGTAATAGCTGCTTACCTCAGACATAAGAGGGCGCGACCACAAATAGTTTGTAAGAATTTTAGAACGATCTTCGATCGCCTTCGGGGAAGAAAGAGAATGCTCTCGGAGATAGTCGATAGCCACTGCATCTAGTCGAGCAGGTAGAGATATAGGAGGCAGCTGTAGATAACATGGAAGTTGCTTTAACCTTGAAGCCCAGGTTGTTGAACATTCATCAGAGTCTTTGTCACGTTTTCGAGAGTTCCGTGGGGGCGGTGTTGAGAAAGTTGATTGTAGCTCATCAGACGTACGATATCGTAAACTCCCATTAATTAAACGGCCAGTGAAATCAACCACAGATTTCCCACGAGAGGCCTAAACGATTTTCATTTCATGGATAACACAGAGCATACTCAGATATATGACTCAAAATTTACGTATTTACGACAAATAAAAAGTTTGTTTAGAGAACCGATAAAGTTTTGAATTAGATGATAAAAACTTATGGGCTTCATGTATAATTTAGTTAAATTCACTATTAATTTGTGGTTCACTTTAGTCTCATGGTTATGATGCGCTCGAATCACTTAGTGCCAAACAATTTAAATTGATTAAAAACAATCAAAGCGACCGACTAAACAGAGCCAAAGGATAATCAGGATAAGATTTTAAATTGATGATGAAATAAGTAGGAAACTTAAGTAGACTGATAAAAATATTCTCCAAATATTCGGAAGAGCACTTTAGGTCCAGTAAGTTTGGGAAGGACGACTCAAATGTCAAGATTAAGTAAGAAAATGTATCAAAGAGAAAGAGATAATACCAGGGCAGTCAAACCAAGGTATTACATAAAACTCGTTGAAAAACCCTTGTCTAAGCCACACAGAGAAATGAGAACTTGAATGGACCATGGACAGATTTTGGGACGGTTGGGTATAGGTTCTAAAACACTAAACAAAAGCCAAGAAATCTCCTTTGACAAACTTAAAAGGACCAACAACTTACACACAGATGAAGACTAGTAAGTGTACATGCAGCTTAGTTGATATTTAGGAAAGTCAGTAAAGAAACGACAGAGGTTATGATCTGCTACAACATCAAGGATATGTGGGGTTGTTATATATTATATACTATGAGAACTTAAGGGGTCGTAAGTGCATATCTGGCACTTCTAAATTTTATTCAGAAGGCGAAGAACTCACTAATTAAGAGGACCACACGATATTAAGAAGTCAGCACAAATTTAGTTATATTAATAAATGAGAATGGTATTAATTGAAAACAGAAAATAAATAGAGTGAGTTAATTAAGATTTATAAGAGAAAATTCTTTTAGTTTTATACTATCAGTGGTCACCAACCACCGGTCTTTATCATCCCTAAATCAAATGAGCGATTTTAGAGCTCGTGTCGTACATAACGTTGATTTTTTCGACTGTGTTCTGCTTTCGCCTGTAGAGTTATATGTTACACATGAGTAGTTCACTTAAAGTATTTTTGCAAACTTATTGACTGGTTTTACTTCCAGTTCACTCGGTGGTCTTCCCACATGCGATGAGTGATTAAGAGACATGTATGGTGTCATTAATATTATGACAATTGAACTAAGTCAAGTACATGTTAGTGCGCAAGACTTTGAGAGATAGTAGAAGTGCTAATAGTATTAGTTGGCTGCTTGAATCAAAGATGATGCAGACATAAAAATTCCCGACTGATAATTAAATAGTTATCCATTAAAGTACCTCTTCAATGAAAGATACATCTGAACTTATATGGTTATAACATGATAATGAGAGATATGTTAAAAATGAAAACTGATACGAAACATATTCAACTGTTACTAATGAGCTGATGGGTGTGGTATTCCGTAGATACGTTCCAAGGACTTATTTCTCGCTTAAATTCTTTACAAGGCTGATAAACTAACGTGTAGGAAGCATACTGAGTATAAGAAATAACATCAGTCTAAGTAAAATGTCGTGGTTAAGTAATTCTACATTTCTACGATGCATCTTGATTCAGTTATGTTTACTAACTAGTAGTCATCAACCAAGATAAGTATTAGCCTGCAGTTAGGAAAGTGAACATGTCTTAGAAATTTCACAAAATCAGTTGATAAAGCCGTAAAAAGGCTCAATAATAGTTAGTTTCTATGATCAATAATTAAACGTCCTTTGCTTAGCAAGAATTTTAGTGCCGGTTTTCGTAATTATAAAACAGAAACCAACTATTTGCCATTTGAATCATCTGGTACTGTGATTAAACTAAGTAGCGGATGAACTACAAAATCATCAGGCTTCCAAGCACACCCAAAATAAAAATTCGTGAAATATATGGAAGCTTCATCAGAACCCCAGCAACAAAGACCTTGTTTCGAACCAATTTTCTTACGATCGACTAATGGCGACCAATACTGCATTAATAATCAAAAACTGTCTTCATGGTGAGGAAAAAATGTCAATTATACATCTTACTGCAGCACAAGACGTTTCGTCATGCTTTTGGCTCATATGCAGATACGAGTCGTCACCATATGCTTGGTGTAATCCTTTTATTTTGAAAACACCTAATGGAGTCCTTTTAAGTAACATTTTCAGTAAAAATATGATCTAAAAAATGACAGGTTCACATATCGTGAACGACAATATGGTTGAGAAACAAAAGACAAACTATGATTATGTCGCCCCCTTATGTGATGAACACTAGAACACTTTAATGAACACAAGTTGGATGATGTTAAACCGCAAAAGGCTAACCACAAAGAGGATGTAAATCGTCACAGGTAACTGTGTATTCAATACAGGTCTGTGTAAATCATCACAACTGAAATTTTGTAGAGACAGTAATTACACAAAGCAATCGGACAATTAACACAATGCAACGGACAACAATCTATTTATGAAAAGAAGGGTGAGGGAACGTCTTAATTGAATTTTCTGCAGTGCCAAACGGGAGAAGTTGAAATCACCACTCCACCTCAGCAACCTTGAATTGATTGGCTCAAAGTTGTCATTTCATTTTTGAATTGCCTAATGTCGGTGGCCTCTTTGTAGGCTAACTGAACTTAGTATTATGTGAGCTTTAAGGAGACTTCTACATCCCAGAAAATGCCGAATAACAAATAGCCATGTGCATCATATGTTTTGCCTGTCCTTCAGTTGATGAAAACCTCTGCGTTGTGTCTCTCAGTTTTCGGCTTATGGCTAGCGGTTGGTGAGCTTGTATATTTCGTCGTTCTCAGACCACCATAATCTTTTCTCCGTGCATTATGTAGTAATAGTGCGTTAAGTACTTCTAAGAGTACATTAACCGACCTAACTGATACTTCTCAGTAAGCCATCCTATCTCAGGGGTTTTTGACATAAAAGGAATCAGAAATTGCATAGAAAGTCACCTAGAGTGTAAGAAAGGCATAGTTCTGGTAATTTCAGATGACATGTACTGATGAAATCTACGTACAAAGTAAGTAGTCCTTTTTCCTGTGAAGTCTCAATAATAATTACACGCAGCTGCTGTCTCCAGAACAACATGCTTGTACAGGTAATTGTCATTAACAATGTGTGATGTGACTTCCATGTAAGATCTTAGAGATTGGGCAGTTACATCATAACAAATCTAAAATTTTAGTATTGGGTCTATTATTAGAGCGGTACTGATATCAAAGTAGACCATAATTCTACGGATGTATTTCATCATTAATTGAAAAGTGGTTCATGCTGCGTTTTCACAAGTTGACGGCTGAATGAGTTGCCTTTCGTTTGTTTCGCCCTCAGGTATAACGTACTCGCATAGCCGACAACCATGATTGCTGGCAGTATTTTGTAAAATTCTTTTCCTTGGAACATTATAAAGTGGCGTACTTTCAATTTATGAGTAGGCGGTTTCGAAGCGATGGACTTGAAGCATATTCGGTCAGCTGTTGAGAAGTTAGTTGCAAGGCCCGACCAACGGTAATTGGAACCTAGCTCACATGCATTCTTGTCATCTGGCTGCCGTACCATAATCTCATAAGGCTTTCCCTCTAACCAGTTTACGCTGTTGGACTTCAGAAGATACAAGGTTAGTGATGTCTCTCTTTTCTTGCTACTATTAGATTAGAAACGGCATCCGTGTTTAGGTAACTTGACTTTTGCGACCAAACACCGCGCTCAGAAAGCAGGACCTAAATGAGTGCATTTAATAAATGAATATTATGTGGCGTCAGTTGAATATCTGTAGTGCCTTTTGTTGGAGAGAATATTAAATCTCCAGCTTGAGAAATATCAAATGGTAATGAAGATAATATGGACTGATTTATCCCCATGGTGGCCTGGAAATAATATTGACAGATATATTTCAGTATAAAGTCCAGTGAAAAAGTAAACGGTACGGTTAATAAGTACAATCATTACAAACCAAGGACCGATCGATTCTTGGTTATGTGACAGTATCTCGAGATACTGTCACATAATTTCCGTAATTGAAAGTATCCTATGTTTTTATCAGTACCTCAACACATCGTCCCATACAACAGCAAGTCAAATTTTCTACTTCTAAAATAATAAAAACAAGTCACAAACATAGAAACAAGAGATTTTCGTGTCAGCCAGTATCACATGAAGAAATAAATATTAATTGATAAGGAAGGACAATGCTATTTAAAGAAGCTTCCCTTAATATAGTCAAATGTTAAGTGGTTTTATGTGCTGAAGTGAATAACTCAGCCAGAAATGAAAAAGCGGTCTCATCACCCAGCAAATCCATATTTTGAAAATGCGTCAAGAAAAGGATTGCTTAAAGAATTAACTCAAACAAAGCAAAACATATGACTTATTTATGTAACATATGGTTTTTTTATAACACTAGCGGTAGGCTACAGAATTTCGAATGAACTCCTGACAATAATTGGTTTAATGTGAGCGTAGCCGTGAGAGTCATGTCGTCAACCCAGTGTTCTGATTACCTAGCGGATCACTTATAAAATGAGTTTGAAATTAGGTATGCGCAATCAATACAGTTATTATATTAACAGTGCAGGTAATCTACTGTACGATATTTTCAGTTAATTAAGTGTTCGTACATCGAGAGCATATACTTTAGCCAAATGGAGTATAAATCTCAGCCCATCTCTGTGATAATGGTATGAACTTTTAGTCAGTATTTGTATAAAAGGTAACTGTGGTAAATCGACAGTATTTCTGTAAATAGTTATTAATCAGGTTATTGACTGCTTTAGATCTTAGTTTCATAGCCCAAATTAACCATATTGCGTGCTTGACTAGTCGTAACAAAGCTTTATGGTGATGTCGGGAAACCACTTAAGAATAGCTTTAATCGGGGATTAACTATGGAAAGTAAAATAGGAAGTGCTGTGTTATATGTCCGAAGTTTCTGATAGTTTGAAACACGTTCGCGGTTGTTGATATGGAAATTAAAAATATGACAGAAAAAATCGAATGGTTCCAATAAAACTGAGTCATATGATCACATTACAAATCATGCTGCAACAATCCTCAATTACTAAGTGCACAACACTTATAACCATGTAAAAATTACAATGAGAGCCATTACCAAGTATTTAACCATTGTTCGATCTAAAACGCGTCATCTAGTAGCCATTTGTTATTAGCAGTATTGGTCCTAATGATTCAAATAGTTTCGGACGGAATAGAAGGAGCTTTTACTTAACGGGCTTCCGTGTCTAGTAGCAGTGGATCATCGATGCCTCCAGGCACGAACCTAGGTATATTACCGATAAAAAAGGAAAAAGAAATTGGCGAACCATAGTAAGATACTGTCAAAACTTGTGACCGCTGATTAGATGGCAGTGACCTGTCGATCGGACCAATCACGCGTAAAACACGTGCGAGCAGTTTGGAGTCTTGATTGGCCCTGCTCTCCGCCTAGCCCAGCCAGTTAAGTCCAAAACACCAATCTGAGCCTCTGCGATATGAATCATTTTATTTCAAGCATACTGAATTTATATACCAATCCAGACCAAAACGTACCAATAAAATATGAAACAACATTTGTACAAGAATGAGCCAGATTTGGCTGTGAATGATGGAGGTAGTAATTAATATACTGGGTATAACTCAAGAATGGTAAAACGTATAATAATAGTTTATGGGTCAAAATAAAGCTTATAATAAGAGAAATATAAATATGAATAGGTTAGTTACTTACTAATTATACAATAGAAATATACGTTTAGTATTGGTCCATAAATGGATCCCAAAAGTTACCATTCATTAGTCTTGTCGGGCCATAGCAGATACTATCCTTAGTCCTTAACAATAGGTCAAGTTGCCTCCTGAAGGACTCCTGAGAAGTCACCTGGACTAGCTCAGCTGACAGCGAGTTTCGGCATTTGACAACTCTTAAAGAGTAGGAGTTGTGTCTACAATCCGTTTCGCTGTGTTTTGTTTCCGGTTTCTGGGTGTTACCCCTTAAGTTTGTGTTGGAGCTAAGCTTAACTAGGTGTTTAAGGGGATGTCCAGAAGCGTTAAGGATGCTGTAAGCCATTAGAAAGTCACCTCCAAGACACCTGTACTCCAAAGGGTAAAGGTTTGGTGACTGGAGGCGCCCTTCATAAGGCTTCAATTTGAGTTCCTAGACTGATTTCGAGGCTCATCACTGGATACGCTTCAAAGTGTCCTTATCCTTTTGGGGTGGTAGAGGAAACATTATGTTTCCGTACTTTTGAAGACTATGTGGAATGCTCTTCCATCGAACTGGACAAAAACGCGCTTCAATGTCACCAGTACAAGGTTTGCTGGAAAGGCATTTTTATCACGGTTAGCGCGAGACTTCAAATCGTAGGGTATTAGCATTCCTAAATATTCTTCACCTTGAGATACTTCTAGAGAGAAGTCGCCAAAGTTGTAGCTGCAGTCTGCAACATGTCTCAGATGGACTACCTTACACTTTGACGTGTTGAAGGCAAGTCCGTCATCATTTGCCCAATTTTGAAGTCGAGTCGGATCATCCTGCAGTGCCAGCATGTCCTCTCGGTTGAGTACCTCTCTCCTAAGTTTCACATCATCAGCAAAATGTAATAAGTCAGACGATACCTGCTGTGGAAGATCATTTATATAAATCAAGAATAGAAGTGGTATTAGTACTAAACCCTGAGGGATCCCACTGGAACATTCCACAGCCTGAGAAATTGAAAATAATACTGACCCTAAGATGAAATGAGTCACTGTTGCGGGAGAACGAAAGACATTTGGTTGATTAAAACCTTTTTGTTGTACAGCAATAATTTTACTGTGTTTTTTGATGTATTTGTTTTACTTAACCTTTGAACTTGTCTGTTTATATCATTTATTTCGGAAATTTTGATTTCTCTTTGTCATCGATTTGGTATTTGGGAGGTTTTGCTCCGGGAACCTACAAAATTGAAGGTTTCTTTTGTAATTGATATAATTATTGTTGTTAAAACGACATTTGGGTCGACTGTTTGTAAATCGCGAATAAACTTTGATACTTAAATTGAAATTTGGTTCTGTTGGTAATTTGGGTTCGTGAAATGCAAATAGATCGACATACCGTACTTCAATAAAGGGAACGAGCAAAAACTTGGACGTGACATCACTTCGGAAATTCTTAT